AATCACACAATGCAACATGGACATTGGACCAACACTTATATCAAACAGTACGTGGGCCAATTTAGGAAAATAAAATTTAAAAAAATATCAGGAAACACAAGATCATCTTCGAAATCAAAACAAATTCTTGTGTGGCAAAATCCGTAAAAAAATCAAATTTTGGGGGAAATCTGTAAGAAATGACAATATTCGTTGAAAAGTCAGAAAAGTTCCATTTATGAATGTCACTTCCACATAATGGTTTTGCAGAGTTTATACAGGTACCTGCTTGCCTTGAAAGACCAAATGCATCATTGAACGACTCAGCAAAACCAACGAAGCTGACCCAAGAATGATTTCTGCAAATAAACAAAGTATTATAATTAGTACAAAATAAATTTTCGTGATCAAAATACCCCAAGATCAATCACATCAGGCCAACAACTACAGACATTGCACTTTGCAACCATGAGCTGATTTTCAGGATGCTTGCACTGTTCAGGAAACAGTCAAGGTCACATATATGCGCACCTATGCATGTGCACCTATTGCGAAGCCGGACGTGGCAGGTTACACGCACTGTTTGCGCAACATGCACAGGCCCACGCGGCATGTGGGCGGTCAACCTACATGCAGTAGCCATCCGTGAGTGACACGGTTCTTGCGCCGCGCTGACCGGTCAATATGGACGTCTGTGCACGGTGACATTGATGCAGTCTGCCATTACATGTAGAGAATTAGGCTACGTGCAAATATTATGGCACTGGGTTTATCCAAGATTCACGTCTTACCATCATTTTTGCAATGAATGACTATCATTGAGATGATATATGAAGAAAAAAGTGGTGTCAGGTTGCAACATTTTTCCTATTATTGATCCATATAATCGCCGCGCGCATCGCGCAGGCCGGCCGCTTCCGAGTCGCTCCGAGTCACCCGCATCGGTACCGCGTACGACCGACTGCTGCTCGCGCCCGCCAGGCCCAATGCGGAAAATAATGCTGCCTGGCAAAGCGATTAGATCTTGAATGTGGTTCTGTGGGATAGAAATTAACTTTGACTTGAAAAGAATCGTTATCTTTTCGGAGTCAAGGAACCACACACTGTGCATACTAAGTCACGCACGTACAGTGTACTCTTTCCTTTTTGGCAAGATTACCAAATGCGAAGTTCACTAATTTTCCTCTGTATTGACTAACAAGCCCCCTGATAGCAATTTCATGTCATCAAAGTCAATTTGAGCCGTGAGAAAATACAAGCATTTTCTTAGAAAACACTTAAAATGTTTAAGTCCACTCTCATAGGGTTTGTACACAGAGTGTTGAGTGAACTTCATATATGGAAATCTTTCCATTTTGATTATTCTGATGGTACGAGTCCTCTTAATTGAAGGTACGAGTTGTCCAAGGTACGAGATGTCCAAGGTACGAGGGGAAAATGTCCATACTCGATCACCACTTACCTGCCGCCAAACGTATCAATTTTCACCTCACCTTTTGATTTCAACCAAGAGGAATCCAGGAAACTGTGTAAATGCGATAGAAAATTAGGCAACATGTGTTTTTAGAGCACATTGTGGATACACACGTCGTGCAGAACTAAGTTGAAGCAGCCGGTCAAAACTGCTGTACGTTATACGCATAACATCGACAACCATGACAACCAAGACGTTGCATGAGCCGGCCAATGATAGTGCAATACGTCATTGTGAATATTTATTTTCGCAGGAATATTTAGTTCATTTCAATGGCTAATTCAAATACGTCCAATTTAGATTAATCTTATTGCATTTTATTGCAACAGCCATCATGCGCGGCATAGCAGTTAAGAGTCTTGTGTTGGCGAGGTTCGAATCTCGATGATAAATAGAAATAAAGGAAAGGAGAGGGTGAGAGTAGAGGAGGGAAAGTGGAGGGAATAACCATAAAGGATGCAACTGTTGGTGCTTGAAAATTTATTGAAAAATGTGGTGATCGAGTATGACATTTTTTCCACTGGTTGTTTTAGGTGCCAGTCTATTTTCTTGTTTTGCAATTGCATGTTTTAAATACCTTCAGTTTTGGGACTCTCATACACAGTAGGGAGAGTCCCAAATTTTTGGACTGCTTCAACTCAGTTCTGCACGACGTGTGCATCCAAAAGGTGCTCTAAAAACGCATTTTGAAAACAGCTTCCTGGATTCCTCATGGGTGAAATCACAAGGTGAGGTGAAAATTGATGTGTTTGGCGGCAGGTACATGTATAGTGGTGAGCCAGTATGGACATTTGCCCATATTTTTGACTCAAATTTGATAAAAACAAAACAGGGGCCCTACACTACATGATCACTTGCAAACAATGAAGATAGTGGATATTTTGCCGGAGGTAATGACGGCAAACTAACGTTTACTAAAGGTTTGCCGGCGGCAATCCATATCAACAGAGGGCGCTGTACTCTTTAAGATAGGGCTGAATTATAAGATGTATTAAATTCCCACCAAAAGTTGTGTAGCACGATTGGTGTAGTGGTTAAGCAAAAGCCCTAGTAAGCGGGATGTCTCGGGTTCGATTCAGACCGCAGCACAATTTTAAGGTTTTTTTTCTCATCCCCAAATAAATACGAATATTCTTCTTTTATTATTTTAACATGTCTCAAACATTTTTTTGCAGAGTATTACCTTTTCTTTGTCAGATTTGTGGCTCTGGAGGATTTTTTTTAAAAGGGAAATAAAGTCCGAAATTATAAAATGGTCTGAATCCCATCTTGTGAATACGAAAAAAATTACGAGGTTACATCGATAATTTTGACATGGAGCCAGACTAAAATTTGTCACCGGAAAATGTTTAAGTACAAAAAAACAGTAGGCTAACTGCGCATGTTCAGTGCATATCCGGCAAACTAACGTTTACTAAAGGTTTGCCGTCTCCGGCAAAATATACACTGCCAACAATGAAACATGATAAATGGTGGTAGAAACACATGAAAAAGCGATTTAACAATAACATTCAAGTCATAAACTTACGCCAGGCTACACTGCAGCTCCAACAGTTGCCTTTCAAGGTAGAGAGTATTGGACGCTCTCACAAATTGTCTTTGTTCCTTGTATAAGTTGAAACCAAGAGTTGCATTCCCATATGAATCGTATCTATAAATTAAGCTGCAGTGGCGGCATCGCAACGTGGATTTTCGGCCAATCTTGCACCCATTTAAGGTAATTACCTTAACCTTGGTACCATCCACGTGATTGTGTCCCAAGTTACCCTCACAAGAAATGCATGTAGAATATGGAGGGACCAAACAAAAATCAAAAGAATCTACAGGAGAAAAACTAGATGAGATCAAAGAGCACGAGCTTGGGAGTGACGGCTGCTGTAAGGATGAGGAAGATGGCGATTCGCATGTGGAAGAGGAAGTTGAAGCAGACAAAGTAGGCCTACGCACCGCTAACAAAAATTGGCACAGCTGTGAATCTGCTCCAAGACTTTCACTAAATAAATTTGCGTCAAAAAAAGAAGAAACGTCACTGCTTTCAATGGCTCGTTGTACTCTGCAAACTTCCAGAAAACCAAATCGCGAAACCACTACTCCAAACTGTTCATCGGTACTCAACTGACGAAACGAAGTTGAAGAAATGTTGATTTTTTCCAATGCACGCTGATATTGTTCAACTGCCTCGTCGTCTGCTTCGAGTTGACTTAAAAATGTTGTGAAATTAAGTTTCGCAACCTTTTTCTTCGGCATCCCGACCAGAAAACATATCTATTAAAGAGGTTGGCGTATTTACCATGTATACTGTCAACAACTGACGAAAACGAATTGAACAATATTAAAAGAATGAAGAACGAGGCGGGCGACGGCAGGGAAAAATGGATATCGTGGATGGAGCATGTACACGTGTATTCTGCACGCGCGTGGTGGTATGGTGCAACGTGGTGACGCTGGTAGGTCTGCTATACGTGATATGCAATATTTTGAAGTGCACCAGTGAACTTTCGATCGTTACTGCGCATGCTCAATTCTGTAGCAGTGTAGCAATGCTGCATGACATATGGTGCGTGACCGATCGTCTCGTTTCTTGCTCCATATGTATCACCTTAATCATGTCGATCATGTTGAAAAGACATGAATCTGGTACTGAGAAACATTTCCAATTTTGTTAGCAAATACTTTGAAAATGTTCTTGACTCTCCTTGGACTTTGTACACAACCGCTGAAGTGGCGTCTGGTCGTCTGGATACATTCTTTCCAAAACAGAAGATAAATGTAAAAAAGACTGCTAGCTTTGAGGTTGCACAAATGAGGTTTGCAATTAAGTCATTTTTGAATGGCATTAGTAAAAAAGAATAGAGGTGTCCGAAACTACACTTTTACCAAAATTTTGGGGTTTTGGGGCTGTCAAATATTAAGGTTTTGTTTTCAATTTTACTCCAGCATTTTAGAATTTCTGAAAGTTTTGGGCCAGGGCATGTACCAGAAAAATTTAATTCAGGCAGCTGCAGTTTCTTTCACAGATTCAGGCATTCACATATACAGTTGCCTTGCTGTTTTCTGTTGAATGTTTTGAGATTTGGAGAATTGGAAATATTCTTTGGAAACTACATAAGAATATCTGAATTTTATGTTGTTTTCTAATAAAAGAAACCAGGTTTACATTTCAGCTACAGACCTACAATTACAAAATTAAATGTATGACATTGACAAAAATTGCAAAATAAAAACAGGTATAGTTGGGAATAACAAAGAATATTAATAAGTCCATTATAATATATCACTGAGCTAAAGAATTATAAATGGGCCATGATGGAATTTTGTAAAAATATTTGAGACAAGTGTAGTTTTTGAACATTTTATTTAGGTGTCTTCATTCAAACAGAATTGTTCAACAGAGATTACTTCTGTCATTTGGGAATTGCAAAGTGATGTTAACTTAATTGGGTTCACGTACATGTAGTTTGATTTTCTTTTTAGGAAAAAAGTTATTTTGTTTACAAATTTTGTAGTATTTTAGCTGAAACAATTTCTGCACCAGAGTGTGTTTTACGTTAAATTTGGCATTCCTGCAAAGATGTGTAAGTTTGCTTGCATACTATGCTATTACACATTTCTGTTTTTCATATATTTTCTTGAAGGGTCCAAGAAAGAGACAAAGCACATCAGTGATGAGTTAAATCCAACTTGGAATGAGGTAATTATGAATTGATTAATGAATTTATTTGAGCTTGGGTGTACGTTCTCGTTTGTGGCCAGTTGTCTGTCAAAGCAGTTTTATAGGAGAAAAAATCTGTCTAGATTAGCTCTGTATGAATAATTGTTAAAATCTTTGTATCTGTGCTGTCATTCACAGCAATGAGATAAGACACTACATTTGTAATTGTCAGACAGCAACCAATACGTTTGCAATTCACAAGCTATCACTGCAGAACCTTTGAGTTTTGCAGATATCAACTGTCGTGACTGTTTGCATTTCCCTGGTCTGTCTTTTTGGTCACATCTCTTTACTGTGAATGACGGCACAGATACCGTTACCACAAAGAATTAAAGACGTAATCATGAAGTACAAATCTAGTCAATTCAGTAATTTATTTGTTTCTGGCCACCTTACTATAGACATGATCGAAATATCACAGTATCGAAATGCAATACCAAGGTAGTGTGTATTTCAGCATTTTACTTAAAAATTATGTCAGTATTTTTCGGTATTAAAAATATCCTTAAGCAGGCCTATGGTATTATTACCAAAATAACCATCCAAGGCTGGAGTGGATTACCATGTAATCCATATGTGTAGTTATTCACATTAAGCAGGCATGGCCATGCCAGAATTAGGCCTATAGAACAGACAGACTGTTCTGGCCACGGTTAAATATTACAAGCTCCTGTGTACACCAGCCAAATTAAGTTTGTTCCATGTGTCGGACAAAAAGTAGGCTGTGACAACAGACAGTGCTCAAACCATTTTGCTGATTATTTGAATTTACTAATTGTCTGTAAGGCCAAACAAAAAATTAAGTCGGTCTCTGGTCAGCGCGCGCGTCAATTTTAATCATGCGCGTCGATCTTTTTTTTTTCCAAAATGTTCCGCGGTAGCTCCAACAGTGCCCACTATTTCCGCACCTCAATTTTTTTTACCAAAGAGCACCAAGGAATGGGAAATTGCACCAAGGCAAATGATCGAAAGCACCAAGGCAAATTATGGAGGACACCAATATACATAAGGACACCAAAAAAGCAAAATAGTACCTACCTTGTCTGTACAATCCAAGCTTGAAGAAAAAAAAAAAAAGCCAAAAAAAAAAAAAATTCGCATGGCCGCGTCAATTCCGGAACTTTGGTCTAACCAGAGACCGTATATTTTTTTTTTGGCCTAATATAAAATGGTTTCCAGTCTGAGATCCAGCAGGTTTTGTTTCACAACATTACAAAAAAATTCAATATTATTGAAATATATATTATTAATATAACAATAATATGCAAATGCCTTCCATTGCTTTAAAGGTCAAGGCAGGAATGAACCACGTATTTTAAAGTGATAAAATAATTCTTACAACTGCATGTACAACAATTAGTTGACCCCAAAACTGAAGCTCCAAACATCCAAAATGGCATCCAATACCTTCATTGCTCTTGCCTTCGTACAAAAATAGTTTGATGAGACCACCTTATAACTATGACAGTGTGAATTCCGCGCCTGTGTATGTACTGATATATTTTTAACAACCATATTTTATTTTTGTAGACATTTAACTGGGATCTCGGTGGTAAGCCAATCACATCGGCAGATTCCATCGAGATCGAAGTGAAGGATCATGAGAAGATTGGACGCAATAGGCAAGTATAAACGAAAAATCCACTAAAAGGAAAATTTATGATTTTGCAAAAACAGTGCAGGGATAAAAATGTATGTACAGTGAAATCTTGATAAGTCAAACTCTGATAACTCAAAACAACTGTAAAGTCAAACAAAGGATCCTTTGCCTTCAGAAGTATAACAATGATATAACTCTGCTTAACTCAAAACTCTGCTGAAGTCAAATTTTGAACTTGTTTCCTTGTCAAGATTTCATTGTTCTTGCAATAAAAATGTAACATTGTGGAAGACAGTTTTTAGAGATTACTAATATGAGGCCTTTTGTGAGTGTGTTGAAACATTGATATCATGGTATTGTCCACTGATTACGCAATGTTGACGTCTTAAAAATATTGACATCTTGAGATTGTTTTTTTTTATGATTGCGTTCCGTTTTTTGGCAGCTTGGAGCAAGCACTGGTTTGGTTGTTGGTCATTGATTGAGTAAATGTACTTTGGCATCCTCAGTTGTGCAGCAAATGAGAATAATTACTACACAGTCGAGGTTACCAAAAGGCATTAATGACCAACAACGGAACCAGTGGTTCCAACCGCCAAAAACGTGCCCCAGGATTTCATGGTCATGGCTACACCAGCAGGAAGGAACTCAGTCAGTTGGTTTGATCTAAGGTGCCATCTCTTACTGTGTTTTACATACACGGACATGAAACTTTGCACTTTCAATAAACTCGGGAAATCAATCATGTGACGTTGACGCTACATTAAAGTCTGCCAAATCCGAAAGTCTTAAATTTCATTTGGTTCAGATGTTACGAAGGAAAGAATTTTGTCATTTTTAACCTACCAAAAATGGTATAAAATCTACAAACATGTAACTTCAGATTTGGGTAGATAATTTGCAGTATATATAGCCTACAATGTATAAGGCCAAAAAAAAAACCACCCAAAATTATTCTGCTTCAGATAACATGGCATTTGAAAATAGGGTAGGGGGGGTAGGGAATTTTTTTTGGAGGGCAATTTTGTTTTGTTTTGTGTACAATCATATGGAGACCTGTGTCTGCATGTAGTCAAGGGTAAAAGGTAGTAATTGCTGGTTTTCGGGGTTTCTTCCTCATTTGTCCCCCCCCAAAAAAAATTAGGGTAGGGGCTGACAAAAAAGGGTATATGGGGTAATCGGAAGCAGAAGTATTTTTCTTTACTTTTGGCCTAAATTATGCATGTGGCACCATGAACAGCAGAACTTGAGAAGACCACAAATGTAAACCACACTGATGTTCAAGAATATCAGCGACAGATGTCTTTGTAATTTATACATGTATGATAAAACATGTTTTTCACTGTTTTAGCCATCACATCGACTTCTATCATGTGCAAATGACTACTGTGGCAAGTTGATACGAAGTAAATTCAATGCATGCATGCGTATGGTGTATACCAGCGTGTATAATACCGTGTGTATTTGGATGTCATACATTGTAAATTAGTTGGTATTGTAATAATAGAGCCATAGCGTGTACCAGTGTTTATTTTTATGCCATATTCAATTAATCAATAGTGACAGCAGTTCATGCGTGAAGAACGGATCTGCTATTGTTTTACTTTATCTCTTACATGTGTCCTGTATATTTGTAGGTGTACAGTGTACATTGTAATACACAAACATGTAGATGTATCGCCTTTGATGTATACATGTATACATGTACATGTATACACGTACATGTATACACGTACATATGTATACATGTACATACATGTACATGTATACATGTACATGCATACATACATGTATACATGTACATGTACATGTATACATGTACATGTACATGTATACATGTACGTGTATACATGTACATGTATACATGTACGTGTATACATGTACGTGTATACATGTATGTGTATACATGTACATGTATACATATGATAATTTTATTTTGTATTCATGTATATATGTATGATAATTTTATTTTGTGTATAATTTATGTACTTGGTGGAATATTTTACTGGTTTTTTTTTTAGCATGTTGTCTGCTGTGACGTGGATCACTAAGGGTGGCATTTGCCTCAAATACGTGTGACCTATCTAAGCAGCACAAACCATGTAACCTTTAGGGTTTTTTTGCGTGCTTTCCTGCTGGACATGAAATGCTAAAAGTAGCACCATGTACATGTACATGTATACATGTACATGTACATGACATAAATAGCATGGGAGGGTATGGAACATGTAACACAGTGGGAGGCTACGGTACATGTACACGAACTAAGGCCTACAAAAAAATAGTTCTGCTTCCGGTTTCTTACCTACCCTATTTTTACAGCCCCTATTTTTTTGGGGGGGAGGGGGAAATGAGGGGAAAAAAACCCAAACCCATCAATTACTACCTTTTACACTTGACTTCACCCAGACACCTCTATATGATCGTACACAAAAAAACTGCCCCACCCCCTGCCAAAAAAAAATTACCTACCTACCCTATTTTCAAAGGCCATGTAATCGGAAGCAGAATTTTTTATTTTTTTTTTGGCCTAATGGCACTTGTGTAATTGTCGTGTAATTTGTTGTCATGTACATGTATCGATACCATTACAAAATTTTATTGATTGAGAACTGTAGAACATGTGAACGTTGTGACCTACAGGCTACATGTACGTAAAATTGTAGTTTAAAAGCTCATGCATGTCTAGAGTACATGTTACATACATCAACTGTGTTGCCCTTTGTACATCAATTTGGTGTTCCCGAAGAATTTTCAATTATAAGTAAGACTTGAGGATTTGCATGGCAGAATATCAATAGGTGCGGGGTTGGGCTACCAAACCGGTTCTTTTCAGAACCGCACAAAGTCACAAAAGGGGTTTGACTACAATGTTTCTACCGCAAACCCTCAGCTATGCCTCGGGTGCTGTGCAAAATGCATTGGACCACATCGCAGCAGACATTATTTCTCCTTGCTCTTTTGTGAAACCATAGAGCAAGCTGTACACCTACAGAACAAATATTCACATGTACTTTATTATACAAGCGTCTGGGTTTTGGAGCTTTTGAAGGTCATACCTTGGTACGTGTTGCTGAATTATTATTAAACAAAATTCAGCTTTCATACAAGGAAAATTTGTATTGTACAGTGTCATGCATGCATGTTCAGTGTCAAACAGTGGGTCTGGAGTTTTGATCAGAGTAAAACGTACGTTGTGGAAAGTCCATTACAAATGTACATAGAACTTGTAATCATAAACTGCATGCACTCTGATATTTGGTGCATTTATTTTGGGGCTATGAAATATTATCGCTACATGTGAAGTACATTTGGCAGTCTGAATATTGAGCCCTTAAATGGGAACGTGGTAAAATCAAAATGCCTGGTGTGCTGCAATTTTGTTTTGTTGCAAGAAGCTTTTTGTTTTTAACAGTTGTCGCATATCACTTACAGCACACAAGTTACAGAATTCCTATTTACTTTGGATTGCAAGGACATCAACCATGCACAACCCCACCCCCACATATGCCAGACATCATGGCATGAAAAGCCACCCCTGTACACTTTACAAAAGTAATCTGTTATCCCATTGGTTTTGTACACCATGAAGTGTAAATAGCACCCAAGGTGAATCTGAGGGTGTCATGTGCATACAAAATGCCATGGACAATAATGTACATCATATGCAACTTGTTGTATACGGTATTCTTTGTACATATACTGTACATACAGTACTGTCTTGAAGTTACCGTCTATCTGTTCATCTGCAAGTACGTGTACTGCATAATATCCAACTCACAAGCTGTGTGGGTTGTGGGCTAATTGTGTTGTTCCTTCGGTATCCAGGATGCGTTGTATGACGATCCCACTCAAATTAGTAATCGAAATGTCATTTTGTTTTTGGCCATGCACAGGTTACTGGGGTCGGCAACTGTGCCCTTGCGTGACCTGCTTCAGTCTAAGAGTCACTCACTCAACAACACTCTCAAGCTACTGGACGGCAATAAACGACCCACAACAGTAAGAAACGGAAACTTTACTAGAAGGGATTCATTTAAAATTGTTAAAAAATGATGTTAAGGCCAACAAAAAAAATAAGTCGGTCTCTGGTCAGCGCGCGCGTCGATTTTAATCATGCGCGTCGATCTTTTTTTTTCCCAAGATGTTCTGTGGTAGCTCCAACAGCGCCCTCTATTTCCGCACCTCCTCAATTTTTTTTTACCAAAGAGCACCAAGGAATGGGAAATTGCACCAAGGCAAATGATCGAAAGCACCAAGGCAAATTATGGAGGACACCAATGTACATGAGGATACCAAAAAAGCAAATTAGTACCCATCTTGTCTGTACAATCCAAGCTTGAAGAAAAAAAAAAAAAAAAGCCGCGTGGCCGCGTCAATTCCGGAACTTTGGTCTGACCAGAGACCGAATATTTGGTGTTTTTTTTTGCCTAACAAAACAAGTTAGGGATATATTTATGTGAAATGCACGTTGAAACAAGTTGATCTACACTGTTCAAATGTTTATTTTCATTCCATGTACCCTTTCAACAAAGTGAACATTCTTTCCCAGCTAATGCTACCGGGTAACTTTAAAAAAATAAACAAAATCTGAATATTTGGTATTCTGATATATGCTCTTTTCAAAGTCATGATGTACTCGTATCAATGAATAATCTCCCAGACAAGATTATGTTCGATTATGTCCTATTATGTTTATGACAGACAACACATTTTCATTTTTTTTTTATTAAATGCGGCCCCCCCCCCCCCCCATCCTGAAAAAAAGGAGAATTAAAAAGGAAGTTTTCGTTGACAGTAGAAAGTGGTTGGAAGGGGCTGCAAAATGCAAATTTGTATAAAAAAAAAATTGATGATTCACCCTCCTACATAGAAGAATTTTCTGTTAAAAGGCTAATGGCGTTACCTTTTGCATGCATGGACGTGTAGGATTACTTTCAGTCAACTAATGTGTAACTAACACAAGTCTAGTTATTCCAGTACCCGCCTAGATCATCTGATGAAAAGGTGTTATTCTTGAAAGAATGGCATGGTGAAAAGGTCGGAGATCTGAGTATGAAGAAGGCTAAATAAAGCCCTAACACAATAATTACATGGTGTGTACATTTTATGTTAGATTAATGATAGACAATTTTTCAGTGGGGTTTGTTTAACAGTGGATATAGGTCATTATAAGATGCGTCGGGGTGATATAAATCAAATTAGGTTTTGCCCTTCACGGACGTTTTTAAACACGGTATACTCAGTGTGTTACCTCCCGAGTGAAAGTTGGAATATAGGTCGTTTCCATGGCTGGTATTGATGTTACAGTAATATTAAAACAAATATCACGGGTTATTAATTTCTGGTACAATAAACAACGACTTGTGTGAGATCGGCAGTCGCGCCGTTGTGTAGTCTATACTGATCTTAAAATGTTGGAAAAAAAGTACGTTGATTCACCATTGATCAAGAGCTGTTGTGTCAAGGTTTATGTTAAACTATGCGGCTAGACTTGTCGGCCAAGCATTTGGAGATGGGATCATGGGTGTGTGTACATAATACAGTACTTACGCTCAGTCTTCTATTTACAGGGAGAAGTTTCCATTCAAATAAAGTACACACCACCTCCAGGAGCTGAAGGTCCAGCCAAAGGCGGTGGGGGAGGCGGCGGCGGGGGAGCAACAGGTAAGAATTCGCATCTGAGATTTGTTTGGAAGTCTGTGTTTCAGGGACTCAAACTCAGGGAAACAAGATCAACCTTCAACTTTACCCCTAGCTCATTTTTGCTAGGATGTAACCTTAATCCTGCAAAAACCTCCAGCTGCCGCCATTTAAAAATAGCAGTATAGCCTCAATCCTACAAAATCCTCCATTATTTCTTGAGTGTGGTCCTTGGAGGGGTGAGCACTGCCTCAGTCCTGTAAAATCCTTCGGCAGTCACGGTCAATATGTTGAGGCAGAGCCAGTGACATCCTGGAGCAGTACAGAGGATTTCAAGTATAATTTAAACATGTAGGCCTAAATTTATGCATGGCTGCGCATAAACAACTCAAGGTCCGAAATCAGCAACACACTTTTGCCATGTATATTATATTGCCTCAATCCCGCATATTCCTCCAATTTGCAAAGAGGATTTTGGAGGATTTGGGATGGTTAGGGTTAATTAATAGACAGTTGGTTACATCAAGGTGCACTAGTCCGGAATGGTATAGACGAATCCAAATATGCGATCACTGTGCAGTCACAAGGCCCCCTTCAATGGAGAAACCATTGTGCTAGCTATTGTACAAAGCAACTGCCCTGTGATGGATTATCTGAACAATAGCTAGCACAATGCTTTCGCCATCAAAGGAGGCCTTTGCGATAGAATTGATATTGATAACGTGCCCGAATTGGTCTGTAGGCTCTAAAACATGTTTCTCACAAATTGATAATTTACTTCAAATCTAAAAATTTAGAAACAGTTGGAATTCTGGTGTAAAATCAAGTTTTAATTTAGCTCTGTGTTTAATGAGCACATCGATGTGTTGCTATAAAATTGGCTACATTTTCAAATGTACTTCATCATTCCTTGAAATGGATACATGCTCATAGGAAGCTGATCCCCATCGTCTGGCCATATGTCTGTATGTAATTGCTCATCTATTGTAATGTTATACATGTATAACATTACAAAATGTGTCACTACAAAATGTGTAATGTTATTACAAAACCATGTCTAATCCTCCTGGAAAATATTTTTGTTAAATTATCCTGGCTTGAGGGCTTTTTGAGTTTTGAGTAAGCAGGGATGAGCCAGAGTCATAAACAGGACTTCTCAGCACTGTATGCTTACATCACATCAATGAAAACCAGCCAATGCATTTAATGACACACTGTGTAGGCATAGGTTACGGCATAGGTTACATGTATACGTTATTAAAGATCGAGTGCACTTTTAGAGATGAAAGCAATTTCCAGGAAGTCAAATTTAGTTTCAGTTTCAGATACTGAGGTTTGTCCCCTGTACCTGAACCCGCATTTAGGTACTGAGAAAAATGCTTCGATTTGACATTTAATTATCTGGTGGTGACCAGAGTGTGGAGTTTGCCACCTGAATTAATTTTTTGCATCAGATGATTTATTGGGTTTCCTCTATCACATGACACAAAAGAACTAGCCCACAATTGACTGAATAGCTAAGAATCGAACTTTGGTATTTATTTTCAATAGTATGAATGTCTATTTTTGTGTGTCCATCTTCATAATGTAGCATGCAATGAAATATTTTCAGAGGAGGAAATAAAGTGCAGAGTTTTTTATTTTTTTAAATTCTGTGATATGTGACAAAGGAGCCTCCCCCTCTTTTGTGTAGGTCATTGTGTTGCCAGTTTCACAGGAATTCTTTTGAATTATCTAGGGGATGTGTTGGGTAACAATATGGTGTGAATAGGTAGATTGGGGGGGGGGGGGGAGTACCCCTCTGTCACACACATTGTGCTGGGTGTACCATGTATTCCGTAATTCGTAAGCAGGGAAACCATAATTTTGTGAAAGTTCTGAACCCAGACCTTTCAACTAACCTTTCACTTGTGATATGTACATGTACATACATGTACATGTACATACATGTACATGTACATCCAATGTAATACTTGTTCATGTGTAAAACCTTGGCTATCCTCTAACAGTCTTTTTTGGAGTTATACAATGTATCTCTGTCATGGAGTCAAAGTTGATACAACTGGGGGCAGACAATAGAAGATATGGGCATCAGGCCCTGGTGCCACTTGTTTGCTCTCATATTAATCCACCCGAATTGCGGCTGTTAATGAATTGGCCACATGCTGTCCCATTGTTAAAGTATTTATAACCACAAATCCATAGTCGCCCATATTTGTATTGAGAGGCCAATTTAAGAATGGTGGAATACTTTGTCTGGCTTTTGAGTTGGCACAAAAGAAGGGGTAATTCATCAGAGTCATAAAAGACTTTACTTCACTTTACATGTACATGTATCCACCACACAATTGAATAGCTCACACTGCACAAGTGTAGACATATGCACAATGGATGTACTGTGCACTACGCAGGGAATTCCATTGCGGACCAAATTTCAACAGTAAGAGTGGAATGGATGACAAAACCAAAAAAAGAATTCATTTCAATATACAAGAAAGGCTAGGTTTCTGTGTACATTATAATACAGTTCTGCAATGGAGAGAACATAAGTGTACCGTTACTGTTTAAACATGATAAATTCATGGATGTACATGTACATACGTGTACATAATATGACAAAAGTGACATGTAGAAAAACAATTTCTAAAAGTCTTTTTGATCCGTTTTACATTCAAATATTTTGATAGTGTGAAAGAGCTTTATGATCATATTGGTTAGAGGTTTTCACTTTTGTATTGTGGGTCATTAGACTTAGGTCCAAAGTGTGACATTTTTCCTGTCCCTGTTACCATGGTACTTTGTACTTTGCCATTCAAGTATCATTAGGAATGACTCCAAGCAATTTTTTAATTGTTGGGTAGGTAGTTTGCTATTCATAATCACTCTTGGAGGATGACTGCATTAAGGAGTGCATCAGAATGATAAAATCACAGATGTCAGATGTAAAAAGGGACAGGTAAACATTCTTATAGAATGACCCATAATTTGGTGTTAATAATCCACAGCCGCTGCAGCAGATGGTGATGCCGATGAAGGGGATGCAGACGAGGATGAAGAAGGCGGTGGTGATGAAGGAGGTGAAGGAGATGAAGGCGGTGATGAAGACGGAGGCGGTGGGGGTGGAGGCGGTAAAGCTGCAATGTGAGTAGCAACAACTCTGCAGGTAGTGGGTTCGAGTCCATCCTGAGAGGTTTGGGTACGTGTGTCCTTGGGCAAAGCACTTTGTCACCAATTATTTTTCTCCACCCAGGAGTTGAGTTGTACCTGTCAGACCAGAGATGGATATTGTGAATTTCTTAAGCTGCTTAGCACTATGACAGCAGCGAGCTGTACACTCCCCAGGGAGCTAAGATGGTCTTTAAAATATCTTATAGGCCCAATGATGTACATGTAGCGCCTTGAGCACCATATCTGGTGGATGTGTGCGCTTTATAGTTATGCACTGTTTGGGGTATTATTTTTAACACGTTACAAAACGTAATTGACATGATGCTCATCTGTGTACAGTTCTTTTTACAGGAATGCTCTTTTCATTTGTATTTTCAAAGTAATGGGACTCACTTTTTTGTGTAATTCAGTCACGTGTGAATTATAAACTGGGTACAAAAATGCAAAAAAACTGCTCAGAAGAAATGTAATTTAGATTAAATAATGGCGTTACTTAGTGCAACATCAAGTATAAATCTCTCTTGATGTCCAGCGCCGGGATGCGCAAGAGGAAGAAGCGTCGGGGCAAGCTGTCCAAGAAACCCCAAGACTTCCAGGTGCGCATCAAGGTCTGGGAGGCCAGGCAGCTGGCCGGCGGCAACATCCACCCCGTGCTGAAGTTGACAGTCTCCAACCAGACCAAGATGACGAGGGTCAAGAAGTCTACCAACAGACCCTACTGGGATGAGGTACGTGAATTGTTCTTTTCCCCCATGCGGTTCAGATTTCCCATCTTTTGATTGGTCCATGACATGTACATATAGCTGCCAACTATTGCAAAAAACTTTGAATTATTACGAATTAATAAAACAATACGAATATATGAATTCACTCTTGAAAGTTACAAATTTCAAATTTCTGCCTGAAATTTTGCATTCACAACCAAATGCAGAATTAAATCACGGCATTCGGATTCGGATTGATACTTTTTTGCAAGCAAAACCGAAACGCTGAAAAATCTGTTAGCATAATAATGATATTATTGCATGGTACCAGCCAGTTCGTAAATTATATGTGTTAAAAAAACCACTGGGAACCAGTGTACGTGTCATACACTCGTTTTCCAAGATGGTGCACAAAACATGGCCAGTTTTCATCGTGTTTGTAGTTTTCACGAAATGTTTTTCAAACTTTATGTGACATCTTCATGACTTCAGATACATGAAATAATATTTGTTCGAAGATACTTGGCACACAAGAATACAACTAATTTGTTGATAAGCACAGGAACGTCTTTAGGTTTTGGCCTCAGAAAAATGTTAGGACCCCATGCTGTGTTACCCCTGGAAAGAAATCCTTCAGTTTCACAAAATGTTTTTTTTTTTATTAATTGATTTGAAAGTAAGTTGAGTCTGTAACAACGTTCTTGTTTGGATTCCCTTGCAGGTCTTCTTCTTCAACTTCCATGCCAGTCCAGCCGAACTCTTTGATGACAATGTCAACTTTCAGGTGAGATACCATGTCGTGGATTCCACCATCTTTGTGGTCATGTGATAAGGGCGTCCCTTTTTATTTCTTTATTGTCGAAATAAATGAAAATAAATGTTGGAATAAAATTGTTGGAGTTGATTAAATGATGCCAAGTGCGTGTTGTCAATTTTTGTTTTTTTTGCAATGAGTTTATGATTTGATTACCTTAAAAAAAGAGAACCATATTTGGCAAGATGTCGTTGACTTACATTATACAATGTATCTGCACCAAGCAGCACACTAACACGTAATGTTTTGGTTGTAGTGGCAGCCATTGCATACCAATAAAGGCAAAATTTTGTTGTTTATTTTGTTTTTCATAGGTGTTCAATTCCCGCAAGCTTCGTAGTGACGCCTTCATTGGCAATTTTGAGCTGGACATCGGCACGATTTATGAGGCCGATAACCACTGTATCATGAACAAGTGGCTTCTCCTGTCCAACGCTGAGGATGCTAATGCCGGGGCCAAGGGCTACGTCCTTGCCTCGCTCAGTGTACTCGCGGCGGGAGACGAAGCTTCAGTAAGTTGTACCAAACCGGCAGAAAATATATTTACAAGAAGTCACCTTTTCGTCCAACAAGACACGGCAGGCCCAATAAAGCTGGTCCCAGAGTGCATAGAATACTATTAAATTGATTCATAATGGCTATTTGCCCAAGTCTTTCCATGCATCTGGTTAACACCATGGGCCAGATTTAGCCATTCATTGGCATTGCAGGGTAATCCTATATGATAGCACTGCCTGGCAGTGACAGTCAGTCAGTCAGTCAGTCAGTGAGTTAGATACAAAGATGACACTAGGCTAGCTCCCCTGGGCCAGCAAATACTGGTTTGATTTTATACATCATGTTCATTTAAACAACAAAATGCTTGGAAATATTTAGGCCCATGTAAAGGGAAAGGTAAAGGGGACGAACCTGTGTTCACAAGAACGGAGTGCCCATCTCTCTTTGGAAGCGATTGGGCCAGACTCGAGTCCATGAAATGCTGCTGTGGGGGGATCGCCACACCTCCTCCACAGCGAGTCTGTTACCTTCCCAGCATTGAATAATGCCGGTACCCATTTAACACCTGGGTTGAGAGGAGTAATTGAGGTAAAGCGCCCTACTCAAGGGCACAACGCGCGTGGCCACGGAAGGGCTCGAACCCACAACCTCACGATCATGAATCCTGTGCTCTACCACTAGACCACACGTGCCCACTAAGGCTTGCCTTTGCTTTTAGGAATATTCTTTTAAACTGTTCCTTATACTTACTTCAAAAATATACATGTGTTTGTTGACATAACACAGTTTTGGGGCAGAAAAAAAAATTAAAATCTACGATTGTATGCCTTTTTGAAGGGAAATATGTGAAAATGGGTTTTTTTGGTCTTTTTTTTCAGGTTTTCAAGAAATGTGATGAATCTGATGACATAGAAACGTGAGTGTTGTGCAATTATTGTAATTTCTCTACAGATGGTCCTATAGATACGTTTTTCCCAAAACTTTGTGAAGTTCCTGTTTTGTATAGTCTTGTAAAGTTCTTAGAAATTCCAATTCCATTTGCTCTGGGTAATTTTCCCTTAAAAACAGTAACTATCTCACCATTGTGACAGTTGATAAGCAAATGAAGCTCACCATGGATTTCTTGAGGGGAAAGATTATGCAAAATTGTTTCAATCCCGCATAGTTTTTGATATTTTATTGAATGAATTTGAAAATGGCGTTCATGTTTGATCTGATTTTCATTTTTGCAGCAATTTGCTTCGTCCAGCTGGCATGCAGTTGAGGAAGGGCATGTTTATTACCAAGATCTACCATGCCGAAGATATCCCACAAAGTAAGCTAGGATTCGCTTCATTCAGCCAAACTCCCATTGTACATGAATTGTACATGAATTGATAGTTTGCCGGGTGGTAGTTGAGCCCATCACAAGTCCATCACAAGTCCTCCAGCCTCGAGCCAAGTCACAAGCTATTCAAATGAACTGTGAACTGTTGTTCAATGCCTGTTAAGTGTTAATTGTGACCAGACTTGTGATTGACTTGCGACTTAACTTGCAATTGACTTGTGAAAGGACTTGGGATGGACTTGTGATGGACTCAAACTACAACACTGATATTTTGTGAGATACGGAATTGAGCTGTCTTTTAAGGAGACCAAAAACCCATAAGTAAAAAGAATTGAACCTTTCCAGAAAAATAGGAATTCTGACAGCAGGCAACTTTTCTCAACAACGTGCATTCATGCTAGTTGTGTGCTTGTGTAAGGCCTCCTGAATTCACATTTTTGATATATTTTAGCATACGCTTGGTATGCATAAATATGGAACAAAATTGTTGGAGAATTATGTTGCTAGCTCTAATAATTATTCAAAATCAGCAGATGTTTCTTCTCATGCATTATAGAAATTTGTCCAATTATTTTGAGATCACCGAGGGAGGCTATCCCCAAACATTTGCTGTGTGTTATTGATATTCGATTATGCTAACCAAAATGCGATTGACTGTGGTGACTCGGACTGTGATGTTTGTTCCTTATTTTAGTGGACGCTGGGTTGTTTGAGGGGATCAAGAACATACTGGGATCTGGAAGTGGCAAGAAGGAGTTGGTGGACCCTTACCTGAGTGCATCCTTTGCAGGAAAGAAGGTAAGGCCAACTGTCATTTTGTTTTTCCCGTCATTTTTTTTCAATCACACGTTTGCAATATATTTTGTCTTTTTATTTGTTTTCAGCAATGCAGCAAGTTCAAAATCTGATACAAAACTCACATCTGGGCTGCCCCAAAAATCACCATGGTACCTTAACTCTAACCGAACTCAACCCATCAAATCCCAACAGCAGGTTTTGTTGAAATCTGTTGGGATAGGTACAGTACCCCGAAACTGATGGTCTTTTACATTGGGGTTGGCATACCTCCAGAAACTAAGTCCAACAGTGTGTGTGTGCATTTGTACATGTGGGTGTTGGAATTTGCCAGAATGGGTATGGTTCCTAGTAAATTATGCTAGGGAGTTAGGGTTAATTAAAGCCATGCACAAATGAAACTCATATACACGTAGGTATAAATAAGTATAAAGAAGCCACTATAAATATTACAGCAAGAACTGACGGGGAACAGTTAAGCTACGGCACTGGTCCTAAATGGCCTTCATGGTCGTTTCTCAACATAGTAAAAAAAAATGCGTTATGTCATGTTATAAATGACTTGTATTGAACATGTTAACAGGTCAAGACCGACGTCAAGTACACCAATGACCATCCAGATTGGAACCAAGAGCTGAAAGTGCCGATCAGGGTAATCTTTCTTTTCTCTTTTCAATTGTCATACGCCATCACTGAAACCTTGCAAAAAATACAAACAAAAATGGAGAAAAAATCAGTGAAACAAATTATGATATTTTAATTCATAATTTTGAGTGACTGGATTTAATTTACTTAAACCAACTCTGATATGGACAGAGACACAAACATGCCCTCGTAAAATCAATTGGGTGTATTTTTAACTTACTTGTGTTGTTTTGTGATTCAGGTTCTAAAATATATTTTTTGTTAAGAGTTGTTATAAAACTTGTGTCATCTTTCAGCAGAAATAAACATTTAGAAAATTTAATGGACATTTTAGATATCGTTTTCTCGTTGATAGTATTTTAAGATATTTGTATATTTTTGTTTGATTGCGTAGTTCCCATCCATGTGTGAGAAACTGAAGCTTCAAATGAGAGACTGGTGAGTTTACACAACTTAAACAAATAATCTAAATTAACAACAAAATAATCAGTACTCTGCCCTTTTCATATGCAAATGACAGAATACTTACTATGTTTTTATGTTTCAGAATGTAAAATGAAAACAAAATCCGTTTTAGAATTTATTTATTTAATTTATGTTCACTGACTTTCCATTCAGAAGCCAGTGATCAAATAATAAGTTTTTTAAGAGTGGTGCCCACTCTATCCATGGTATGGGTGCAAGGTCAGAAGCAGAGCACAATTTTTTTGGGGAGCCAAAATTTTGTTTGCTCCCTAAAAGTAAGTCCAAATTTAATATGAAAAGCAAGGGGGAGGGGGCAAATGTATTGCTTTTTTTTTAGTTTTGTGGGTGGTGTACGCAATGGCTGCCTTTTTTGCGATGTTACTTAAAAAAACTCAAAAAAATATAGGTTTGTTTTCTTGGGGGGGGGGGGCCATGGCCCCCATTGGCCCCCCATGTATTCACTGCTATGTGGGTGGTATCGTTTTAAGCAACACTTGACTAAAGCAGCAAGTTGCACGAAAGCCCAGTGTTGTCAAGTTCATCACGAGTTCAGTCACAAGTAAATCACAAGTCGATTCACAAGTCTGATCACAAGGTATCAAATGAATGAACATAACGACAAGGGAATTTCAAAGTCACTGTGCATTTGAATAGCATGTGACTTGACTTGAGACTGGAGGACTTGTGATTGGCTTGACTGCTACACTGCCAAAGCCCCCCCCCCCCCCCCCCCCCCAGGAAAGCAGAAGCACAGTGACCCATATTAAAACATGAAATTATATTGCCGATGTGATCTTTATTTTGTAGGGATCGCGTGTCTGCCGATGACTACATTGGGACTGCCTTCATTGACCTTTCCTCCATTTCATCGCCCGGAGAGGAAGGTAAGACACCCATTACACATTGACAGTGGCGTATCCAGAGGATTAACCCTGCGAAGCGTTTACAAAAAAACTTTGCAACAACTCGTCAACTGCTGCACTTTGGGCAGCAGGTACTTTCCCGCACTACGCAAGACCCTATTCATAGCAATACAACAAAAAGCCACGTGCCAGACAGTGTCCAGACAGTTGCCAGACAGTGCGCTGGAAAGATAATTGACTGGCGGCTGTGGTATGCAGTAATGAAGGGAGATGGCTGTGTCAAGTTACAGGTCTTTGTTGATGTTTCAATGAGACTTGGCAGGAGGCCTGGTCGAAAGTTTGTTGACACGGCCTGGGTTTAGCCCTGGCTGCAAAGTTCATTGAACCAGCTGATTTGGCAAGGGTTGAATGAGGATTAGATAGGAGGTGAACGTTATTGGCCCTAAAAAATAAAACTTATTCAAAAAATTTGTTTACCTGGGGCCCAAAGGGCAGCAGGTCACTCTGCACAGGGTTAAACATGGGCTTGTGTGCTCTCATATGTGGGCAAACAAGTACTTCATTTTTACAGTGAGTTAGCGCTCTTAGTAATTTAATATAGCTCTATGATCACAATGTGTATCGCAATACATGGATGTGCACACCAGTCTAATCTTAACACGCTTGTGGACGCACACATATGTTTAGGCAGAAGATGTGTATCAATCTTAGAAAAATATTCTGCAAATTTAAGCAATTCCTTGACTTGTGCATGGTGTATGCACAAGATTATAGTTGAAGCACTTCGGTGGTATGTACATAGATGAGAAATCACAGAATTATACTTTGCACTTTGTTTGATAAAACCTTGAAGAGGAAGATGTTGCGGAGGAAGGACGTATCACACCAGGTAACCCATCAACGTCTTAGCGTCTACTTAAAAATGTTTCCTTTAGTATAATTGATTTTTTTGCGTGGATTTTTATTTCTCACAATTTAAGTTGTTATCCACACTGTATGTTTATTAATCCATTTATTTTCTTTATATGAACAGATAATTTTTTGTAGGTAGTTTTTCTTTACAATTCTTATTTGACCTTTACTGAATCCTTTTGGTTCAAATTTTAATTGCAGTATCTGCCATCGACAAGCCTAGGCTAACCATGGCAATTCATTTATTGTTTTGATTTTACATTAGGAAACTTCTCGTTATCGTGAGAAATAATCTGATTAGCTCTCCTAACTATCAGATGGCTATTGTTTTTTCGTCGAGCAAATACGTTAAAGAAGTCATCGCATTATGTTAAAAAGTCAGTCGCATCCTGTCACACTTAACTTAGTGAAATGTTTTGCAGAATGCACCGTAGGGCTAGGACTTATAACTGTTATGTTCTATGCTTCCAGGGAAATTGAGTTAAGGCTACCATGTAATTATGCAGGAAGGCAAGTCCAAGAAATCGAGCTCCCTGTGTTCCATACGCAACCAGAGTTAAACCCTCTAAGATATTCATGGATATCAGTGTTTTTTTATTTTACTGTTGGGCATCTGCAAGGAAGAATACCCACAATAATTTGTATGTTGTTAGTCTTTGCGGTGATTATGTAATTGAAGAAAACATGGCGTAATTGTTATATATGTAATTGAAGAAACTTGGCGTTGCGGATGGGACCAAAAAGAGGCCCTTTTCTTGGACTTACCCCTGAACACATTTTATTATATTTGTTTGATTTTTTTTTTTTGTCTGGCCGTTGCTTGGATTGAAATATTTTGATCCTGGGATATTGCAGGTTTTTTTAGTTGCAATAGCTTCGCTTGTTGATGTCCTGGCCTTTGTACTCCCGTCAAGCTGTAACTCTTGCCAGTGCTTGTGTGTGATTCGGGTTTTGTAAATCCTACGAAGTCCCTTTGGGATTCCTTGGAAAAATTCCTCCCCCCCCCCCTTCTATACGCAGCTGCAAAATCTGACACTGGTGCTTAACATGTTGTTTAAAAATAGCTATATTCCATTATCCCAATATTCCCCCCCCCCCCTCTCTGGCTGGCAATTTCAACAAGGCCAGCCCAGCAGTCAAATAAATCTGGTGACTGTTTTTAACAGTTGAGTGCTCCCTGCCTTCATAAAGCAGGATTCAGTGGCTGTGATTGATATGAAACCTGATATAGCCATGCTTTGGCGGGAGGAGATTGATAAGCCAGCTGTACCTACCAGTCACCTGCTTTTGTCTGTTGATGGAATTTGACTGTCACAGTGACTACAAGAAATATGATCTGACTGTAGGTGACTAGCCTGTTTACAAGTACTGGGTTTCTGAGGTTCCAAGCGTTTATAAAGAGGTTTACCTTAAACTGTCTATTTAGCTGCTTGGCTGGCTGTTATCGGTTGTTTGTCAAATCGTGTTGCTTTTGTAATACTCCAACCGGAGTATAATTCTTTTCTGCAGTTTCCAAAGTGGTCCCCTTCCCTGCTATTCCTCTGACACCCTAACCCAAAAAATAGTCAGAAATGTGGAGGAAAATGTGTAATGTGCTGACCTTTACAACATCATGGACAGTAAAAAGAAGTCTTTATTTTTTTTTCTTTGTTATGAATGACTGTGAAGCCCGAAAAGGTGAGATTTTGAGAAAGTTGCCTCCACTTTTCTAAATGTATCATCATCCAACAGAATGCTTCTGCATCTTCTGAAGAACTGATGGACCCAGTACTCTTCAAGATGTCACAAACCCTGCCATTTTCTCCTCAACATTGTCAAACTCACTGAAACGGCCCCAACTTGAAACACATTGTATCCATGCTTTTGTGCACTTAACTTGATTTCTGAAATTAGCCACGGGAACCATTTGGCATTTGAAAGCTAATGTACTTCCCTGGGGGAAACTTCAAATGTTATTTACATCTTAGACAAGTGTTTCATATATGCGTACAAGTTACACATTTATATATGTCATTAAGACTTCTGTAGCAATTGTTATTAGCAGTGGGCATGGTCATGATGACAACGTTTGGTATGTTTGCACTATGTTCACTTTCATGACACTATTGGTAGCTGCACATGAGGGCAAGGATGGTTTTGTAGTTGATTTTAGCTGCTTTGCACCGAAATGGCAGCATCGAGCTGTATACTCCCCAGGGAGCTGAGATGGTATTTGGAATGTTTCATGGGCCCAATGAGCAGGGTAATGATGTAGCGCCTTGAGCACCAATACTGGGCGATACGTGTGCTTCATAAAAAAAAATACACATAAAAATACATATTGTGAGATGAAACATTTCAGACAATGGATAGCCCCTTGTAACAGTTACAGATACTCATGCAAGATGACGGCTCGACATCAAACCAGTACATGTACACAACAATATCCCCCTTATTGTTTATTCTATTTTCAAAGTAACTCCTTTATCACTTAGTTGAACAAGTATGTTTGAAAGAAGGGTTTCATTAGTTTTGAGCTGCAACATGCTCATATAGTTTTGTTTTTCGGGTATTGTACTGAACGATGTATTTTAATAATTTTGCCCCAAGTTAATATTGCACATCATAACAGGAAGTTTGTCTTTACATATTAGTAATGTGATAATATTCTTCTCGGCAAAGATGTAAGTTCATTTTTTTATGTCAGTGGTGGTTGTCCTGTGTTTTTCTAATAATAGGTTTCCTGCCAACTTTTGGTCCGTGCTTTGTCAACTTCTACGGATCGACCCGAGAGTTTTCAGAACTTCCAGACCAGTACGAAGATCTGAATATGGGCAAGGTAATCTCATTTAAAATCCTAGCACAGGTTTTTCATTGAATACACCTCGCATGCTCTAAAGGCTTGTACAAAAAAAAAAGCTGTGAAAGATAATGAGTTAGCAAGGTAAAGTTATGAATTCAGAACACTGATAGTGTGGTTGTATCGTTGCTTTATCAGCTTTCCATTGATGCTTTATTTGCATATCTGTAGTCATGGCTGACTGAGCACATTGCCTCAATAATAGTACAGTTAATATGATTGAGTTGATGTTACCTTCCAAAAATTGCCATGGTGTGGACTATGGATGTGCGAAGGAGTTGGTAGCTGGTTGTGTTGAAAGTGTTTGTGCATGGAATAGTACATTGTATTCTGTTAATGATATTCATAAGATGGAATTTGCATCAGAGTGATGTAAATTCATTAGTGGATTTTGCCCTTCACCATCGTATTTATAAACACTGTATACTCAGTGTCGTCCCGAGTGATTGTGAGAAAAAATTTACAAACTACTCCGGTGAGACTCAAACCTACGACCTCCTGCTTACTAGTGCAGACGTCTTAACCACTCGACCACCAAGCTTGCCGGGATGGCTCGCTGGTTTGAATCTAATGTAGCAGCGGGTAGTGCAACCAAACTATTCATAAGATGATGTTCTTTCATGAGCAAATTATCCCAAAGAAGTTCTGATGTTTACTTGAATTCTTTGTTTGTGTACAGGGGGAAGGTGTTGCCTACCGTGGCCGTGTGCTGATGAGCTTGGAGACCAAACTGGGCGAGCACCCCGAGGTTCAAGTCGAAGAGATCAGTCATCAAGACGTCCTTCGCGTCCAGAAATACCTCCGCCGTCGCAAATACGTCCTGTACGCCTGCTTCATCGACGCGACCATGGTCAGCGAAAGCGACGACCCGGTGGAATTTGAGGTCAGCATCGGTAACTACGGCAACAAGTTGGACGAGAATTGTGCGCCGCAGGCCTCAACGACTCAGCCGACCAACGCCGTGTACGACGGCTGCGAGTATTACTTCTTGCCCTGGGTGGAGAATAAGCCCCTAGTCGTCATCAACTCGGATTGGGAAGACGTCAGCTTCAGACTGGATACACTCAACCTGCTGCTGCGCAAAGTGGAACGCCTGGTGAGTTGACTGTCTTCTATTATAAAGAGAATAAAAGTGTTTTGTTAGGTAAGGGTTCTTTTTTGAGGATGATGTGTATGATTTATTTACATTCACACCTTTTGATATTGGTATGCTCTGTTTCATTTGTACTGTGCAATGACTTGTTATTGTACCAAATGCACACACTGAAAACGAACCTTGGTTTGAAGTAAAATTCTAGTTGATTTTGTATTTGTTCAGTTCACTTCATTTTTAGTTAAAAGGAGAATTAAAATATAGCCATAAGGCCATTATATTACTACTATTAACCTGAAACGTTTTGTTTGTCATGTAGAACCATTATGACATTTTTAATTAATTCAGACCATTATATATCCAGAATTAGTGGAAAGCATAACAAGATTGACATTGTGTAACAAGCTGTGTCCATGTAGTTTCTCCGTGAAAATAAAATCAGATATAGGTTGGGATGGTTAAATTAAAGCATGTGGTCAACAACATGTGCACCTCTACAATGCTACACTAGCTTTCCAGCCGTGTGCCATATACCCTTGCAAGCAATTGTCAGACTTTACAGGACATTATTGTTTATCGGACATTAATCACCGCATGGGGCATAGCTTAACAGATCAATCGTTTTCCAATCTCGTTTACAGAGTGCCAACATGGAGAAAGTCAAGATGAGTCTGAAGGCAGGGGCTCCACCCGCGGAGGTTGCCGCTCAGCTGATAGGAATGATTGACCACCTTATTGCTGATTGCAGGTAACACAAATAATGACGTCCCTGAAAATGTACCCAAACTACCGCAGTGTGTTAAAAACATGTATATAGGTTGGTCATGGGGTCCCCGTAAGCCTGTTGATTTTGGACATCACACAATAATGCAAATCTTGATAAATTGCTTCAGGACTTCGGTCTTTATACTTTACTGCACTGCCTCTTGGACTTCAAACAACCCATCTACCCCCTTCGGGGAAGAAAACTCTGTGCAATATATTATTTCTTCTCTCAAATTTCTATTAATTTCCTCAAAAGTGCTCCGCTGCCAGAGATCGACCCCACCAAGGACAAGGCTAACATTCTGGATCAGCGTCGCTACGATACGCGTGTGGGTTGCCTGGCAACCATCGTGGAGGAAGCTACTAAACTTCGAGAGAACGCTACCGATGTGAACGAAGCCCTGGAAGAGATCAACGGCTATCTTCACATACTGGAGGAGTTGTCGGTCGAGGTGAGCCAATGCTGTGGGCAGAGAACGTGCACGTCTCGCCAGTTCACGTTGACGTTTTTTTTTAAGTGAACGTCTTGGTTCGAAACATAGTCTAGTCTGGTTCCAGTCTGGTCTGGTTCTAGACTCCTGTATGTGTAATTACCCAATTGTTACTCTGCATTATTGATTGAATGAAAAATGAGGTCATATTACAAAAAAAAATGTATTAAAGTCATTTGTTTGCAATATCTTCAATAATTATTCATTTCAGTAATTATTCATTTTAAAGATGTACTGTACATGCTATTTTCGAGTTTCACCTTGGGGGGAAAAAAAAATTTATTAAAGTCATTCGTTTGCAATATTTTCAATAATTATTCATTTCAGTAATTATTTATTTTAACCCTAACAGTCCTGAATCCTCCAATTTCAATACGATTTTGCACACCCCCTAGGGAGTTAGGGTTAAAGATGTACTATACATGCTATTTTCGAGTTTCACCTTGGGGGAAAAAAAATTGCCATTTTTTGGGCAATTCAAAAGTTATGTGGTTTTGAATTAGACATTGAAAAAAAGCATTGAACGATGTTTAGTTATATAAAAATTATTTGTAAAGTTCGAATCATTTTCTGGCCCGATAATAATCCAACGTGCAGGTAAGACTAGTTCCTGCCCTACTCACCAGCATCGATAATGTGTGTGTTTAGAGGAAGGGGGAAGAAACCAGTCTACTGGTAGGGCAGATCCATTTGTGTGCTAAAACAAACCAAACAAGTGCCCAAAATAGACAAAAAAGAAAATATTTTATTAAAACAAATGTGTTAGACAGTGAATTTTAAAAATACTTTTAGATTTTCAATAGATAATAAGTAGAGAAAAAAAAAATGTTTTATGAGAATATTGCTTTCAGAACTTTGATAATTGAAATGTCTGTCCCCTTCAGCCTCAAAACAGCATGCCAGATGTTGTAATCTGGATGCTCAGCGGCAGTAAGCGTATTGCTTACCATCGTATTCCTGCTTATGATCTGCTCTACTCTGGTCTCCATGCTGATGCCTGTGGTAAACTCTGTGGCAAGCTCAACAGCATCTTCTTGAAGGTAAAATCATGAATTTTATTCTCCATTTTGTCTTTTTTTGGTATCGGGCCGTCTAAACAGTAACTTTGCAATTTTCCAACAGTATCCATATAAAGTCTTTCTTTCACAGCCTGTTTTTGCGGAGATCTTAATTGACCTATTACAATTTGCGAGTTAGCCACACCCCTTAGACAACTCTATGGAATTTTGTACATTAAGTTTTGTTTGTCTAAGATTTTGCACAGTATGCGTCCATTTGTACATCATGTAATTGGACAATACTTCACAAGCTGCGTTGACGCAATTCTACCGCGACAGGTTAATTGGGTAACCCTCCTCCTATACTTGTAACTATAGCAAAGTGTCAAATGTTTTTCTTTCGGCTGAATTTTTTTAGATACTTGACAAAATATTTTCAATATAAATTGTCTATTCTTTTTATTACCCTTTAATATAATAAAACATAACATAACTATGATGTTAACAATTTATATGTTTTACATTTACTGTACATTTCATTCACATACATACATTGCCCTGTTGTTCCTGGACTGATAACTTCAAAAATGAGACAATATTTTGTGCTGGTTCGAACTAATTTTAACATCGATTCCGCACCGATTTGGCTGTGAATTTGAGAGGAAAAATGTGGGGAAAGTTGGTTGCGAAATGTGGATGGGAATGCCAATTCATCAAGCGAAGTTCCCATTCTCATCCGCAGCAGTAATTTAATTGCGACGTACTGAACTTTTTTCGTAGTTGTGGGGACCAAACATGTTGAAGGGATTCTCTAACGTCCCAACAACTTGGTTCAAGTTTTCCTTACAGTAGAATACCTGTACTTTACAATGTATGTATAGTCCAGGCCAGGGCAAGAAATTTGGGAAAGGCTGTTGCATCCTGACGCCAAGTTTTGTTGTCATATATTATCTCAACGAAGGTCAGTCATTGCAAAAATGTTGGAAAAAAAACATGAATCTGGGACTGAGAAACATTTCCAATTTGTTAGAAAATACTTTGAAATGCACTCGACTCTCCATAGCCTTTCTACACAACCAAAGCAGTGGCGTCTGGACACTGCATTCCTTCCAAAATTTGATTATAATGACAGTTTGTCTTTTTCACACAATTAATATCTTTTCATTTTGAATTTCATTTTGTTTTAGTTCCTGAGAGCAGTTAAAGATTGTTCCGTTTGTTTTGACTTAATTTTCATTTTAGCGTATGTTTTGCATGCTCGAACTTCATAAGAAACTAATTCATTTCACGTTCATTTCGGACTTGAAAACAGAAAACATGGAGCTTTAGCAGAGTTCCACTGTCTTGTTTGTATCAGTGTCATGGTCATTATTTTGGAGGTGGCATGTTTGATACATGTATGCCACATGTAGTTAATCAGTTTTCTTCCCCAAAAAACAACAGACGCCAGAAACGCCCGAGTCCCCCCCACGGCCGCCAGAGCAAGGCCCATCCACGGTAGGCAAGCGATTCTTTTAAAGGACGCAAGCTCTCGTCTGGCAAGGGTTACATGCCTGCTACTCATGCACTTCACTTAACATGTACATGCCGCATGCCTTGACACCATCACTGTTTTAATAGGCCTTATTCGTGAGCGATAGAGGGCGTTGCAACTGCCCATTGTTTGAGGCTTTAAAGGGTCCACGAAGTGAGTTTTACACTGGAGCAGATTTGTAGCAAATGTTCATTCCTTTGAGCAATGTAGAAAAACTACGAGATATCCGTTTTTGGTAACCAATTTTGCAAAGTGCACTTTATTTAACATTCAAAATGGTTCATGCTTTTCCTGACAAATGAGGGCGCTGTTGCTGGGTTTTTTTCTTCAAATTGTAAACCCAACATTTTGCTTTATTGAAAACATTTGTGAAAAAAAGTGTCTCCTTGGTGAATTTTTATCAAAGCAGATTTGACACTGATTTTTCTTTCCTGAATTTTCGGAAAGCCGAAAGGCACTCAAATACCCTTGAAAATGCAATATGAAGATTACAAATAAAGTTAAATGGAACACAAAGGTACATCTTCAAGGATTGCATTTAAACAAATTACATGGGCCCTTTAAGCAAATGCGAAGCTTATCTCACATTTTTGCATTGCTACAGTCCAAAACCTTTTGATTTCTGGATTTAGGTAATGTTACAAAAATGCCTTGTCAACATATTTTTTTTAGTATTGGCATCGAGAAAATGTCGTTGTTGCAGCATTCTCATTCGCTCAAAAATATGGCCTATTTCTGTTACCAGTACTTTTTTCCTCTTCTTACATTGACTTGGTTTGGAATAGTGTTCATGTTATGGTAAATGGTATGAGCTAGAGAATTACTTGAACTACAAGGTGCTTGTTCGAGATACTAAACGTTCTCATCAGAAGTACGTGCAACTGCTATAGTGATTACCAGTTGCAGTGAGTGGTAGTGGTTTACCTAATGGAGTAGGTGCACTAACATTGAAGGTTTTTAGGCTGGTTAGGAAAATTTACTGTATAGTTAGCTGAGGATCGAAGTAATAGTTAGATGTAAATAATAAGTCAGAGCAAAGCCAGTAGCCTTAAGCTTAGACCCAGAGTGCACAAAATTCTATTCAATCCATTCAAAATGACAATTCACTGGAAGTTTTGTTATGCACTTGTTAACAAAATGGGCCAGAATTTAGCCATTTCATAGAGTACCGAAGTGAATACATCACGCGCATAATGTGTGGGGTAAAAGACATTAGCGCGTGATTCAGCCCGTGAACCAACACGCGCGCGTACTCCATTCGTTTGCACAATACTTCCTGGTTCTAAATGACCTCACACTTCGGTACTCTATTGGCATTACGAGGTAATCCTATATGATAGCACTGCCCAGCTCTCTCCAACAGTCTACAGTCAGTGTAAGTCATGAGTGACTGTCAGTCGGTTGGTCGGTCGGTCGGTTGGTCGGTCGGTCATTCAGATACATGTAGGTACAATGAGGACACTAGACTGGCCCTCTTAACAAATCTTAAGAAAATCGTTCAATGGATTTGAAAATCACATTTATTGCTTGTTCTGATAATTGTTCAGTTTGTCAAAGAAGAAATGATTTTAAGAATCTGAAAGTCTGTCTATGGAAGAGTCATATCCAGCACTCTTATCCAGTGTAACCAAGCGCTTCTAGTTCATAGCCTCACCCGTGAGCGGGGTGTGTCGGTTCTGACCTTGGTTAGCCATTAGCAGAACATGAGAGTAAATTGAAAACGACAAGTGGCTAACTCTGGGTAATCTGAGTGAGGTAATAACCAAAATCATCCAATGTTTCATCCAAAGTTGAGTCTGACACCAGACAAATTTTATGAAATTTCACTAATTTTGCATGGAATAACCCCGTAAAGTGTATATGTAATTAACACTAGTAACACCAGTCTTAACACCAGTGTTGCAGATAATTGCCCGGAGGCAGTTGTGATGGAGGAATGCACCTTGTTGCTGAATTGTTGCATTGGATTTCGTTGCTGACTTCCATGTTTTTAAATACATACATGGGTGTATTTTTGGTCAGTGTTGTTACTGTATGCTTGATGAGGCCTCGTTAATGCAAGAGACATCTGTTCTGTAGCCCCTTCCCAGTTTTCCTATAGACCAATTTGGGCATGCTGTCAATTCCATCATGGAGGCCCCCTTCAATGGAGAAATGATTGTGCTAGCTGTACTACAACAGAACTATCCTATAACAGATTATCCGAAAGATGGCTGTTGAAGGGGGCATTCATGATAGACATGAATGTGTGTTGTACTGTACTGATGACGTCACACTTTGATTAGATGTGCGCTTTTCTATGGAGCTATGAATTGTCCGGCCCCCATACTAGGCTCCCATAGAAAAGCGCACATGTAAACAAAGTGTGACGTCATCAGTACAGAGGCTTATTGGTCTGTACACTAATTCAATTATTACAATAATGGTTACAGTTTGGGGTTTTTTTCACCACTACTGGGACGCTTGCATGCATGTGCGCATATTACACGTGCATTTTGCAAAGCTCTGAACAAGAGAATTGCATTGTGTGAAGCACCGTAGCGAGCTGTGGAGAGTCCCTGTATTGGGGAGAAGCAGCCCAGATCGGTCTATAGATATAATTAACCCCTGCCCGTCCCTTTAATAACTAATTAAAGGTCTTTTCTTAACATTCAGGTGTTCTGTTTATTCACTTACATGTACTATACATCAACTGATCAAATTCACTTTGTTTTAACATGCTAAAAACAGTGTACAAGTACTATGTACATTGTTTTAAGCGTATTGAAACAAAATTAGTAATTTGCTTGGTGTGTCTGTTATTTCTTTTGACTTAAATTAAATAAGAATTGTCAAAAGTATTCATCTTAATATGGCGAGTGGGAAACTTATTTCATCAAAGACGTTTTTGCAATATTAGTTAAATTTCAATTTGAAATAATATTAATATACTAGCGGGATGTCGCACTTCGTGCGGCACCCGCTAACTTGGTGGAGTTGTATTTATACACTAATGTAATACTCTGACCTCAATTTGCATGTTGACCCCAAGTGGGCGTGATAAACCTTGGTGAAGCAATTTTGGCACATTTTTCATCATGGAACGTTATGTTTTGCGAGATAGCGATATGTTTGGAGTGTTTTCATGGAGATAATATTGTAATATTTAACTTTTGAAAGTCTAGAAGAAACAAATTGCCAAAAAAGCACAACAACACAAATAAATCATTTTTTTCACGCGCCAAATGATGACTTCAGAGGACAGTGAAATCGGAGCATATTATTTAAGGACCTGCATACACTGGATGACCGCATTTTGTGCTTCAGCATTCACCTCGGGCCTTTTACAGAAACGTGACAGACAGACAGCGTAGGATCTGTTTATATAGGATTTTGTCATGATTGTTGTCACTCCACTTAGGTATTGCTTAAAAGAATTTGTCAATCTGTCTTCTTTTTCATGCAGAGAAAATAGAAATCATACCACTGTTTTTCACCCGAGTTATACACACTGATCATGATGTTGCTCTGTTTCATGTTCTAAATCAACGAAACATTGCCCACTCTTATATTTTTTTTTCAATTTCTGATGCACATGTTACACTTTCCTCTCCGGTCGATATCATCATCTGAATTCACACCTAAGACTTTGTCTTTATATCTTTTGTTTGGGATTTATTTGCTAAAGGCCAAAATTTCTCTTATATTTCCACATTTTATCACTTATCATACCCCCATTACACGTTACCTTTACCGGCAACAAAACAATGTCACTGCAAAACGTCCACCTCAGAATGGCTCAAACCACTGCATGCAAACTTTTAAATATTACCTTATGCATACTTTATGATTCTAAAATGACATTTTGAACACAACAGTCACTTGAAGATGTGTTATTTTCACTGGGAAAAAAAATGCACTGGACACCTATGTTGTGGAACGAAAAACATTTAATTGATTACGTCAATATTTGTAGATGTAAAATGTACGTCATATTTGGAAACAGTTATCTCTAGCACTGCATCCATGTGATTAACCATAAAACATGTACTCATTTCTGTTATTTCCTGGTGATTTCAGTTTGCTGGCAAGAGTTCCATGAACATTGGAGCCAAGAAGATCCCGGGCATGCTACGCATGAAGCTGTGGCTGGGCCTGGAGGGCGACTCGGAGAACTTCCAGAAAGGAATGACCGATTCCTCCATCGCTGTCTTTGCTGAAACAGTGAGATTACCAGTGTCTTCTCATTTCAACTTAAATTTGACCCCAAGGGTGTAAACAAGTGTTAGTCGAGTCCATGACAAGTTGTCGCGAGTCCATCGCAAGTCAGTTTAGGGTCCTCGTGGTTGGATTTCAAGACACAAAATATTAAAATGTGACTGTGGCAAAAGCATTCTTTTGTCATTGTTCATTCCCTGTTTCTTGTGACTGGACTTGTATGTGTAAGATTTCCTGATTTGCTTGTGACTGGACTTGTGTAAAGGCTTGTGATTTACTTGTGACTGGAATTGTGATGGACTTATGATTTACTTGTGATTTACTTGTGACTGGACTTGTGATGGACTTATGATTTACTTGCGACTGGACTTGGGAACTGGCTTGTGATTTACTTGCGATGGACTTGTGATTTAGTTGCGATGGACTTGTGATTTAGTTGCGACTGGACTTGTGATTTACTTGTGACTAGACTTGTGATTTACTTGGTTCTGGACTTATGTTTACTTGCGACTGGATATGTGATTTACTTGTGACTAGACTTGTGACTGGACTTTTGACCAGACGGGTGAGGAGGTACTTGTGATGGACTCGAATACAACGCTGTGTACCAGACCCGTGAACCACAGCACAATAGACAACAATTGTTTTGTTTTGCCAAGTTATTATTTGTTTTAACTGTTGGACTTCTGTAACTTTTAATTAGAATAATCAGATAAATCAGTAGGTAAGACTTTTTTTGCATGCCGACACAATAGTACAGTACCAGACTCTAGAAATATAACACCTTTGTTTTGTGTTTTTCAGTACGAGAATCAAATGAGCATTCTAGGAAACTGGACCAGCAGAGCTCTGCCACGGCCCAAGTTCTCTGACTCCACAGGAAAGGTATGTCATCTTGACGGTGTAAAGAGTATTATGCTCCAGTAAAAGTAGTAAAGTCTGTCCCGAGCCAATGTGGCTCATCAGGCCGGCGTTTATCTCCGGTTTCAGTAGCATGAAACGACTGAGAATATTTCTACTCCCCCTGGATGGGATGCCAGTCCATCGCAGGTTACTCCCCAGCTAATGCCGGTACCCATTTATACTCCTGGGTGGAGAGGGGCAAGTGGGGGTGAAGTGCCTTGCCCAAGGACACAATATATGACCAGCGGCTGGATTCGAACCCCGGACCCTCTGATCATGAGTCACGAACCCTAACCACTAGGCCACACACTCCCTCATTATGCTCCAGTAGCCTAACAAAATCAGTGATCAAAGGTGATGGTTATCTAGCGCTTTTTGGCCCTTTATTTGGATGGAAAATCTTCAGCCCTAAGTTGTGAATATTTCACAGTAGGGTCGTCGGTGACTGAACAGTCAGCGAGAAGTTGTCATGTTATTGCATTTTGCATTATGAAATTGATATCACAAGAAAATTAGTGTCGTAAGAAAAATGGTGTATCGTAAGTCCAAAAAGTTGTTAAGGCTCGGCATGAACAAAAATATGTGGCAGTGATATTGGCTCTCTTTAAGGATTCAAGCTTTGAATAAAAAATTGACTCTCCTAATGCATGTGTTATCCGTACGTGTTTGTGCAGCCATTGATTTAAGATAGTGAACTTCATTTTCAAATGACATTTGTGAGGCGTACTGGCAAAATGAGACAGAATTGGGCACAGGCAATAGTGGAGGAAAATGCAATAAAAAATGGTGGTGTTTTGTGTCGATTTTCAGATTTATGGATATTTATAGTCTTTGATATATGTCTGCTACACGTATTTTAAAGAAATGCTGTGGCAATCATGGAATAAAAGTGTTAAAAGGATAAACAATTGTCATCTTTCATACTCACGACTTACAAAACAGTCACTTTGGAGGTTTTTTTCTCAGTATGTGCTTTTTTATGACATGTTGGTCATTGCAAATTTCACATATCCACAACTTGTCAACAGAATGTCCGATTAAAGAACAACAAACAGCACTGTAAGGAGAATTATATTCTCTTGCCTAATACCCACCGACTATCATTTTGACCTCAGTTTGCCAGAATGCCTCAAAAATGTCCAACATGCATGCACTTGCATATGATGCACATGTCTAGAACGGCAGTGTAACATTGTACGAGTATTCAAGATGTAATTTGATTGGCTTCTCTGTTCGGCAGATCAAACTGAAGAAGGAGAGCTTCACCCCTCCAGAAGGCTGGCGCTGGGAAAGTGACTGGCATGTCAGCCCAGAACTCAGGTGAAATACCTCGTTTGGCCAAGGACTTTCATTGGATTCACTTTACAGATATTCCCTCGGTCCCATTTTTAAAAAGTTTCACCCTAAAATTTTAGGTTTTTTTTAATTGCTGTTTTTCTAGCACTACAAAAGTTATTCGCTTTTGAATGAGACGTCTTACCAAAAAAAAAGGGGGCCCTTGTTTAGTTTTGGAATAATTATTTTACAAATTTCAAATTATTGGCAGCCTTAGTCATTCAATTTTTGTAAACCTCCCCCCCCCCCCCAATTTTTTTCTTTTAGAACATTGCAGACGTCCAAAATAGAAAATATTAAAACATTTATTGGAATAAAATTGAAGTTTTTGAAGAGCATTATGCAGTTCAGCTTTAACAACATAGAATAAGATGGGATTCACTGTTCTTTGGATGCCTTGATTATGCCGAGAGGTTTTGTTCAACTCTGGGATGGAAAAGTTGATTCACAAGTGTTTTTTTTGAATAATTATTGTGACAGCAGGCAGCTGTTTCCTTCGGAAAGTCAAATAACTGTTGGTACAAGAAACTAACTCTGAACTTTTTGGTTGTATTTTGCAGTCTGTTGTATGATGCTGATGCTGGAATGACCAAGTTCTTGGAGGATGTCTACGAACATGAATCCAGAAACATACCCGGTGGCTACTGGGGAACGTCATCTGTGCCGTTCACCTCTGTGGTAAAGTCATTCACTTCAGTTGCATTAACCCCAACCCTCCTCAATCCAACAAAAATCCAACCAGGCACTTTGGACATGCCGGTTAGTTTCGGAGGATGCATTTGTGACAAGGTCCTAAGATGTGCCTTACATTGTTTATGTGCAGCCATGTATAGTTAAGGCCTATAGTGTACTAGGGGGGCCTCGTAGCCAAGCAGTTAGAGCGTGGAGCTACGGAGTAGGAGGTTGGCGGTTTGAAGCCCATTCCAACCAAAAACTGGAAAACTCTCTCTGACGACCCAACCGTGAAATGGGTACCTGATTCGTTCAGGGAAGGTAAGACGGCGAGAGGAGAGGACTGGGCACTGCCACTCATATGCTGCGCCCAAGACACAGTGGACCTCTAACATCCCACTGCCCCTAGGGCCAGTAATGGCTATGGGACCTTCACCTTAACCTTTACATAATACTGAATATCATCTGCACTGCTCCAAAGTGAGGTAAATAGTCAATGCTGATTTAATTGATGTTGTCCACTATTTGGGAGCATCCTAATGAGGTTGGTTGCGTCACTGGTTATCAATGGCGCACATTACAGGCCACAGCAAGGAATCAGGATCATCTGGACCCTTGTTGGACTAGAGACCCTTGTTGGACTAGAGACCCTTGTTGGACTTTTCGTACATGCGCATGAATCGACCACTTGTTAACCTGTGGTCTTTGATTGAACTTACCCTCTGGAATTTCCTTCTTTTCTTTTCATTATTTGTAGAAAGGAGATGCTTGCGCTGCCCGCGATGAGATCAAACCAACCGAAGGCTGGGAGTGGGAGGATGCCTGGCAGCTGGATATCAACAGAGCTGTTGATGAAGAAGGTTAGTTATGCATATTCATGATCTCATGGGTCACATGATCAATGATGGGTGGGGATTGGAGGAGGGAGGGAGGGAGTGGGAGGATGCCTGGCAGCTGGACATCAACAGAGCTGTTGATGAAGAAGGTTAGTTATGCATATTCATGACCTCATGGGTCACATGATCAATGATGGGTGGGGATTGGAGGAGGGAGGGAGTGGGAGGATGCCTGGCAGCTGGATATCAACAGAGCTGTCGATGAAGAAGGTTAGTTCTGCATATTCATGATCTCATGGGTCACATGATCAATGATGGGTGGGGATTGGAGGAGGGAGGGAGTGGGAGGACGCCTGGCAGCTGGACATCAACAGAGCTGTTGATGAAGAGGCTTAGTTATGCATATTCATGACCTCACATGATCATTGATGGGTGGGGAGTAGGGGGGATTCCTGGCAGCTGGACACTAACAGAGCTGTTGTTGTAGAAGGTTAGTTATGCATATTCATGACCTCGTGGGTCACATGATCAGTGATGAATGGGGGAGGGATATGGGGAGTGGGAGAATGCCTGGCAACTGGATATTAACAGAGCTTGAAGAGTAATGCATATTCATGACCTCATGGGTCCCATGATCAATTATAAGAAGGTAATTCGTGCATATTCGTGACCTTATTGGTCACATGATCAAAGATGGGCGTAGAAACAGACTTTAATACTTTACCTGTGGCACATTTACTGCGATGCCGCCCTGTTGGCCTATGTTGATTGATGTTGATTTGCAAATCCCAAGCAGTATTTACTTAAATATGTATTTTGTGTATGAAATGCATGTTTAAGGTTTTATAATGATTCAATTTTCTAAGGTTTTGAGTACTGTGTGGAGGCTACCATCGGCAGTTGGGGAGCCGTGGAGAAGACCTATCATCTGTGTCGTCGTCGACGCTGGGTCCGACCACGTATTCTGGTGGTTGACCCCAAGGCACTGGAAGTAAGTAACGCAAGTGACAAATCTTATCAGATTCTGTTAGCATTGTTGGAACGCCAAATCTTCTTTATAGATATTGCAATTTGTTGTTTACACATTACTTTCCCAATTGGTAATGGAGCCTAGTAGGCAACAGCAGAAGTATTAAAGATGTACTATTCATGCTATATTGGAGTTTCTTACCCATTCTTTTTTCAATATATGAATACTTTTTTAGCAATATGAAAGATATTCACTTTTGAGTGACACATTGAAGATAAATAAGACTTCAGCCCAGGTTTATTTTTGGAAGGGTTGCTTTATAAATTTTAGATTATTTGTGACTCAACAGAAATTTAGCTATCCAGAGGTAGACTGGTTCCTGTCCCCTTATCAGTATCAATGATGTACATGTAGGGAGTGAGAAACAGTCTACGCCTAGTGCAGGATCTGCTTGTGCGTAAAAACAACCCAAATAAAAACCTCTTTTTCAAAATCAAAACAAAACTAGTTTCTCTTGTTAAATTCTAACATGTTGCCATTCTGTGAGGAGAAAAAAAAATTATCAAGTTTATCAAAAGAGCATAGATAGTATATTGGCCCACGTTTACTTATGGTACGCTTCTCTGATTTACAGAAAAAGAAGAAGAAAGATCTCGGAGAAGGCTGGGAGTTTGCACCGCTGTTCAACTTGAAGTTCCATGCCACGGAGCGCAAGATGGACTTGGTACGCCGCCGCAGATGGCATCGCAAGATGGTGGCAGAGTCCCCCAAAGCTAAGGCCGTCTTCTCCATGGGCAAGGTAACTAGGAATGCACTCTCAGCCTGTGATACCTTACTGTGATTCATTACAACTGAAAAGGCCTTATTATCCCCCTGGCTTTCCAGCCAAACTTGAAAGGTGGTCTGTGGAGAGAAGGCTGACGTCAAAAAAATCCTTTCCAATATGGACATTTACGAGGTCTCTGGAGAGCTCAGCTCAGTATTACTAATGACTCCAGCATATGCTGCAGTGGCAAGGGGAACGCACCAAGACTAGGCCGCACGGAGTCCCGTGTCTCACCCAAACTTCCCATTCAACCCAAACTCCCCATTCAACTGAGAACTGGTGCCCGCCGGGTGGACAATCAAGGCCGGCACTGAAAATTGTCCTTACTAACTGCCTGTACATGTATACAAACTGGCAGGATGCCAGGGGGATCGCGCAAGTTGTACTTGCAGAATTTTTATCAGCAAATGAGGCGCTGTTATGGAGCCATTTTGGTTCTATAAACAGACATGGCATGAAGGTTATTGGCTTAAGTTTCCACATTGCTACAGCTCTAAAAGGATATGTTTACAGTCTTTTAATTGTTAAATGAAGTAAACTTACTAAACTGCTTCAGTAAATGGTATATGTCCAGTTTGGGGTTAATAGGCCAGCAGGTTGTGATGGTCCATTCTAATTAATCATCTCTATTTAGGATGATGAGAGTGGGGATGAAGAAAGCAAAGCCAGTCTCTCTGTGCCAAGGATGTTCCTCAACTTCAACGGTGAGTATAGACTTATCAGATTCCAGGTTCACTTCTCAGTTTTCTAGTCAGGGGTTCGAACCGCAAATAGGGTCAGGGGTTCGAATCCAGCTGTTGGTCATATGTTGTTTACTTGGGCAAGCCACTTCACTGTACCAGGTACAGTTCTCAGTTTTCTAGTCGAGTTCCTTACAGGTCGCCCCGTCTCAACTCCCGTCTCAAGATTGTTCATCTTCTGTTACTTCCGACTGGACTGGTGATGGATTTTACTTCAATTCCGACAATCTAACTGCAAAAGGCTTCTTCTCAAAACAACCTTACAATGAAATAATGCAAATCTTAAAATCGCACAATACCGATTTGTAATATTTGGTACTTACATTTCTACAGTGACCAACAAGTATCAGCTTCGTGCCTACATCTATCAAGCGAGGGACCTCATTGCTGCTGATTCCGACAGCTTCTCTGGTATGTACTTTGTACGATGTCGAAATAGAAAAATTGTTGTGGTCTGCCAGACCTACATTGGAACACCGCTGGGAATGTGCCATTTGCCAAACGGAGCAATTCCAAAAAAGAACAGCACTTCTCTGAGTTCTGAGATACTTGCTGATTGTTAGCTAGATGTCAAATATACCACACTCCCACCACAGATTTACTGGAATGGTGTGGCCCGGTGGTGAGGGTTGCTGACTCGTGATCAGAGGGTCAGGAGTTCGAATCCAGCTGTTGGTCATATGTTGTGTCCTTGGGCAAGCCGCTTTACTTGCCTCTCTCCACCCGGCATTAGTTGGAGCGTAACCCGCGATGGACTGGCAGCCCATCCATGGGAAATCAGTCATGTCATACCTAGGAAACCGGAGATGAACGCCAGCTTAGATTTCCTTTTCTATCCCTTCTTTGTGTAGCCCTCACCTTGAGTGGCCCTTAGATAGAGCCTTGTGATGGGCCACTCTCATAGGAAAAATAGTTCCAATGATAACTTCAGCGTAACTCCCTACAAATCTTGTTTTATTTATTTTAAATCTTGCTCGTTGGTTTCCGTTTTTGGTAGATCCATTCGCCTACGTGAGCTTCTTGAACCGCAGCCAGAAGACTGAACTGAAGAAGAAGACGCTGTGCCCTCACTGGGACCAGACCCTCATCTACGATGAGATTGAGATACCGGGAGATCCCAACATCCTCGCCGCCAATCCACCTGACATCGTGGTGGAAGTCTTCGACGACGATACATTTGTAAGCTTTCAGTTTCACAATTTTTGGATAAACAATTTTGAGTCGGGCTGTTTCAGTGTTGTAGTCGAGACCTTGCAAGACCATCACAAGACCAGTCTCAATTCAAGTCACAAGCTATTCAAACGAACTGCAACAAAGGCATTCCTTTGTCATTTGTCATGCCCTGGTACTTGTGGCTGGTCTTCTGCTTGAGCTGGTCTTGTGACTGGTCTTGTGATGGTCTTGTGCTGGTCTTGTGATGGTCTTGTGATGGTCTTGTGCTGGTCTTGTGACTGGTCTTGTGACTGGTCTTGTGATGTTCTTGGAATGGTCTTGTGAATGGTCTTGTGACTGGTCTTATGATGGTCTTGTGATGGTCTCAACTACAACACTGGCCGTTGTTTAGAACAAAAAAACAAAACAAAAAGAAGGTTTGCCTAGTCCATCTGGACCCAAAAGTCTGAGTTAAAGACATTGTTCAGTCAGTCAGTCAGTCAGTCAAATGAATTTGAAACATATTTGACTGATTGTCCTACTTTTCGTGTGAACGTTACAGGGTAGTGATGAGTTTATGGGACGTGTTGTGATGAAGCCGATGGTCAAGCTTGACAGTGCCGATCAGCGTGTAGCGCGCTTGGCATGGTATACCCTGATCATGGGGGAAGGAACCGCCGGAGAACTACTGGCTTCGTTTGAACTCTTCTTAATGGTAGGACATTGATTAATTACATCAGGAGTCATATCAATCAATATCCAGGAAAAGTTGCAGTAAAGTTTGTAAGTTTAGACATTTAGTGTAACTCAGGCTTAGGATTTTAGCCCTTAACCCTTACTCTCTGAGGGTAGTTTACTGCATGTCAGTTGGTTATGCCAATGCCCTCCAGCTGCAGTTATTTGGCAGATAACAAGTCTTAACAGTGAAGGCTCCAATTGGCAGGAGTTGGAGGCCCTGGAGGGTGCCTGATACTGACCAGCTGGGGGCACTCACTTTGTTATCAGAGGACTCTCATTGTTCTCTGTGGCATGTATTGGAGTGCCTGTCCAGTTACCCTTGAAATGACATGGCAGATATTGGAGGGCCATGCAAAAAACATAGGAGATTTTCTTGAGGCACAATTGGCATGCATTGGAGGGTCAAGTAGGGTAAGGGTTAATATAACTACCCTTTAACACCAAAATCAAAGATCAGGGCCCAATTTTTGGGTTCTGCTTTTTAATACCATTAGCAAAAATCCCTGCTTACTATAACAGAACATTCTTCGCTTACGGTAAGCGTATTTCACAGGTTAGCTAGGAATTTGGCTTCTGCGCATGCATACCTCCTGTAACTAAGGATTCTGTGCTTACAGGCTTAGCACAGAAGTTTTCTGCTAGCGTGGTAAGCACACAATGGTGATGGTAAGCGCAGAATTCTGTGGTTAGCAGTGACATGAAATTGGGCCCAGGTGTACATACTTTAACGCTTTGTACCCACATTGACTAAAATGGTACACTTTAAGTTGTGCTTTGAAATTAATCAATTTCAAGGCAGTGATACAAATAGGGTCCTATTCACAGAAGGTCGTTTTTGGTAATGTTTTGCTTCATGTTGTGGTTTGATTGTCACGTTGCAGTCGGAGACATCAGACCTGCCCTTTATGCCACCCATGCGAGGAGACCTCTACCTAGTGCCTAATGGCATCCGGCCTGTCATGCAGAGGACTGGGGTCGAGGTAAGGCTCACAATCTTTCAGGATTTTGCAAATGGTTTCCATGCACAAGTGCCCCCTTCACTTGGTAAGGCCAGCCATCAGATTACAGACCGTTTGGGTACCGGGCCCGGTAAGCTAATCCCTTTCACCCTGATCGGTATGAAGTCGGAAGCCGCCCAGTTACTGCAGCGTGAAGCCCCGATGGGTTCGAACTGGTGACTCAGGGAGATTTGTGATGAACCAGAGCGTGACGCAGAAGCCTGGTGGAGTTAATCCGGGCCAAATCGGTTCCACCAAAAGTCCCAATCCCTTCGACACACTGGGCGGGCTCAACCACAAACGGTCCGGGAAAGGATTCTAATTTGAGGACTGGCCTAACAAAGAGAGAGTTTTTGGGGAGACCACTCGCGCAAAGATGGTTTGCGTGCTTTGCGCCATATGTGCGTCAAGCAGTGCACGCACACGGTGTGTCTGTCTAAGTGGCACTCTTGTGAGCGGTGACAGACTGCCATCTCCTGCCTATGCACGGAGCCCGTAGTGTGACCCTACTCTGAGGGGGATAATTGCCTTGAGTTGACTGTCGTTCATTCCCCAGAAATGTTGATAGGTTCTTTGGGTACCTTGTTTAATGCAGTGCACGTGCCAAATTTTTTTTTTGTACTTGTGTTCTTCAGATTTGGAATGTCATTGTTCGAATAGATGCAATGCTAATTATATTTGGTCATTCAACTTAATTTGAAAACATCATGCTGCTTGAAGGATGGAATCTGCAGGTTGTGGGTTCAAGTCCAGCCTGGGGTTGTGGTGCGTTTGTCCTTGGGGAAGGCACTTTGTCACTCATTGGTTCTCCCCACCCAGGAGAAAACGGGTACCTGTAAGGGCAAACACGGTTATTGTGGTTGATATTAGCTGCTTTGCGTCGAAATGGCAGCATGGAGCTGCATACTCCCCAGGGAGCTGAGATTGCAGGGAGCTGAGATTGCCTTTGAAAAGTTTTATCGACCCAATGATCAGGGATATTAATAATGTAAAGCAGTATAATTTTAGTTAAAAGCACTATATTCATGTAGGTATCCATTATTATTTTTATTATAAGAAGTCTTTTTATTTGTCTTTATTCAGTTCCTGTGCTGGGGTGTACGTAACATGAAGAAGTTCCAGCTATCATCGGTCACTTCACCCTGCATAGAGTTTGAAGTTGGTGGGAAAATCATCTCGTCCAAGGTCATCAAGAACACCAAGAAGAATCCCAATTTTGACTCCCCGCTCCTCTTCATGGAAGTAGTAAGTCAAAAGATAAATACTTGGTGTTTCTCCAAGATTATTCTTACATTTTTGAGTAGTCGGAAACTAAAATGCTTGGATGTAAAATCAGGCTTTTTTAGCAGCTAGTTGAATATTTTTTTTTAAATATTGTTAAAATGTTGATCTTGCTCCTTACAATTTAGCCTTAATATTTTTTTTAAGACAGACATTCCTCGGCAAAATTATTCCCATTTAATGTTTTTGATTCCACAAACATGAAAACAGAGAAATTAAGAGAAAAAAGTGAAGGTTATGAATTTTGTTTTCTTCAAATTTTGTAACAGTTCTGCATCACCTTTAGAGGAAAAATGTAGATTTAAGATCTGGAACTTTACAGTTTATTTTAGACATGTTTAAGATATCAACCGTGCAAAAACCTGCAAATTATATGAAAAACAGCCCAATAGAAGTATCTGATTTTGAGTGAACTCATCACAAATAACTAACTGAATTGTTGTGGTGGCAAGATGCAAGGTTTTTTTGGTCATTCAGTGGTTAATGTAAGGGTAAGGTATGAATGTCTCATGTAGAAGAACAGAGATAAAGTTGAGCTTCTGTTTTGGCAGGACCTGCCGAAGGAAGAGCTGTACACCCCACCTATAAACCTGAAGGTTCGCGATCACCGCGCCTTCGGACGTAAACCCATAGTCGGGATATCCGTCATCAAGAATCTGACCGAGTATCGCGTCACCCCTGCCGTGGAACCGACCAGCGGCACTCCGCCACCACCGGAACAGCAGACTGGAAACGGAGGTTAGTTTCGTTTTTAGAAATATCGGGACTTTCTCTTCTTTACAAGTCACCTCAAGACTTCACTATTTAACTATGGTGTATTCCCTAAGGGAAGAATGCAAAATTAAACAAGCGGTAAATCAAGGTAGAACCACGAGGTAACCTGCAAAACCTTGAGGTACACCTCAAAGTTACCGCCTGTTTAGAGGTAACCTGTAAAACCTTGAGGTACACCGCAAAGTTACCACCTGTTTAGAGGTAACCTTTAAAACCTTGAGGTACACCGCAAAGTTACCGCCTGTTTAGAGGTAACCTGTAAAACCTTAAGGTACACCTCAAAGTTACCGCCTGTTTAGAGGTAACCTGTAAAACCTTCAGGTACACCTGAAAGTTACCACCTGCTTAGAGGTAACCTTTAAAACCTTGAGGTACACCGCAAAGTTACCGCCTGTTTAGAGGTAACCTGTAAAACCTTGAGGTACACTGCAAAGTTACTGCCTGTTTAGAGGTAACCTTTAAAACCTTGAGGTACACCGCAAAGTTACCGCCTGTTTAGAAGTAACCTGTAAAACCTTGAGGTACACTTCAAAGTTACCGCCTGCTTAGAGGTAACCTGTAAATTCTTGAGGTAAACCTCAAAGTTACCGCCTGTTTAATTTCTCATTGTCCCCTAACGTATCTTTCAGTAATAAAGGTGAGTTCGTTTCTCAGCATAATCCTAGAACTAACCACATGCCTGATGACTTCATTTTCTCAGACTGCCTCATCAACATTTGGCTCGTATTATAAACAAATTATGTTTGTGATGTCCATCCAATTGTTTCTACCACTGCCATTAACAGCAATCATGCACCGTTCTTGCCAGCTACATCAGGCATTGAGATTTAGTGTTTTTTTTTACCAAAATGTAGCATTTCATTATCAAACATTCCAGTTTCTTTATGAATGTGTTTGATAAAGACAGACACACGTCACAAAGCCCTGCTACTGCAACCATTGTTTTTAATGTGCTAACTTGATTGATATCGTTCAAATCCTGGTATTTTAACCAAATCGTCCTTTTCCAAATCCTGAATTTTAAAGAAAAATTGATTATTGATGGAACCGAACCGTTAATCTGCAGACTTTAACCTCATTGAGGACATGTAATGGTACGTGTATTGCCAGAAATCCTTCATTGGTCGGTTGTGGTCTGTTGCTTTGTTGGCAGTTTTGAAAGTTGGCAGTTTGGGCTGAAATTTAGGCCATTTGCATGGGGGATCAAAGAGTAAATGTAGTCAGTTTTCCTTTGCGGTTTGTTTGATGAATTTGAAGTGAATATTTTTTGTCAAAAACACAAGTGTAACTGATGCTTTTCATGTAGTGCTCTGACATGAAACTTTTATGATGCTGTTGTTTTTTGTTTATTTGTTTTTGTTTTATTTTGTTGATATTTGTGTTCAGGTGCATGCATGGTCATTAGATTAATTGCTGTGGGTCATATAGTTTATATTTAATCAAATCTCCAATTTTTAACACCATTCCCTGGCATAACCCAGATCAGTGATTTTTATTGTCAACATATTCCTGTGGTCAACTCCGAACAACCTACGGTCTCACGGAATGCTGCAGTATACAATATGTAAAGCTAGAATAAGTTACTTTCAAATTTCAATATTTGTACATGTATGTTTTGCACCCTTTTTGACAATTTCTGGCAGATACTAACATAATAGAAATATTCCTTATTGTTATCTTTAAGTGCTGTCTTCTGAAACATGCAAACTTTGGATGGGATATTATAAATAAATCGTCGGTCGCACCACGAAGGGACGTATTGTGTGCACAAAGTCAGTAGAGGATATGTTCTTTCGTAGTGCACCCGCCAAAATGTATGGATTGTTGGTGGTGTATGAGTTTTAATACGAAAATGACTTTTTACCCAACATCATTGACTAGATAAAGCGTGAATAGGAATAGTTAGATTTGTTTTGTCAAAATGTGAATGTACCCAGTCGACCTGATTACTACTAAGAAGCCTCAAGGAATATTATGCATAATATCTTAGGCCAAAAAAAATTAAAGTCTCCGGTTTCTGGTGTGGAGCTTGCCCCAAAAGTGGTGCGGCGACGCGGCTTCTTTTTCCCTTCAAATGTCGGCTGATGACTGCAAATGGTGCCCAACTAAATTTAGTGCAAAATGTATTGGAGCCCAGAGAGGCCCAAATACTCGATTGTAACCCCATCTAAAAACACGTTAAAATTGTGCAGCAGCAGGATTCCAGTCAAACCAGTGAGTTTGGCGGTTTTGAGACATCATCTCACATTGAAAAAAAAAAAACTGTTTAATTTTGCTGACGCGCATGGCTACGGCGACGCCCGCGCATACCAGAAACTGGAGACTTTTTTGGGGGCCTTTCTAAATTGTTTTGGTGATTTGAAGAATCTGTTTTGGATGAGCACAAAAAGCAGTCGTCCGTTGCCAAGTCTGCATTGATATTCCAGTCAAAGACATTCCCTCCTCAGAGTTGGATGGGTCCACAGCCACCGATGGTGCTCAGGAAGACACCGGTCTACTCCAAGGAAAAGGTTGCTATTTATAGTCTGTTTCATCTGAAACTACTCTCTACACCACACATTGAAAATAACAAAATTTTTATCTCTTTTTTTTTTTCATGAATTGTCTTCATTCTTAATATAATGCTCATGCTTTATGGCAGTGAAAATGGTAACCAATTCTGGTGATCTTGCCTTTTTCTAAACTGTTCACTTAAAAAGAAAAGCACTTTTTTCTCCATAATAAGTAAACAATTGGTATTCTGTCAGTAACAGGCCCGATTTGGCTGTATTTCTGCTAAGTGGAATCGGTTTACTGGAACTAATATCTGTGAATGCCATTCAGTTTTTGTTATTACATAACTGTCAATACTGATCCTGGTATGCTGGCATATTAAGGTACACTCCCTTTGGATCAGCCAACCAAGAAATAAAGCATCTTATAGTTTTTTTTATGTTATTCACTTTTTCAGTGCAGTTTAAGAAATTAACTGAAATAATTGTACATTGATGAGTGTTTTATTTTTGATGAGTAATACTGCTACAGTGTATTGACTATTTAGTAATGAATATTCATGAATATGCATAAACTATTTAGTCATGAATATTCATGAATGTACTTTGCCTGCATGCCAGTTGGTGACCTTAACAGCCAGAGAAGCTAACTATTAAATGTATGTAGGTCATTCTATAAATTAAGGGTCCAAAATGTGGCATTTTCCTGTCCCTGTTACCTTGGTACTTTTTAGTTGCCTATACAATGTACAAGTATCATTGAGAATGACTTCAAATTTGTTAGGTAGATAGTATGCTCTTCGTAGTCACTCCAGGAAGATGACTGCATTAACGTCAGATGTAACAGGGACAGTAAAACAAAAGGACCCAAAATTTGTAGAAAGAACCCACGTGCAACTAACAGCATGAATTGTACAGCTTGCACTGAGTACTGCAGCACCATACTGGTACGCATGTTATACCGACAAGTGTGTTATCAAATTGGAACAATCACTTGGCATTCACTGTGTACACGACTGCAAACTTTTGGGGTTTAATATTCTTGCGGGCTTCCTTTGTTCTTCACTTATCATGCTTGTTATACATTATTGTAAATGTCTTTTCTCAGTAGGGTCTGCAGTGTTGATAAGCTGATTCATTAGCAGGAAACTGGGAAGCCACATTTTTTTTGTTTTAAAGGCCGCTGTGGATAACTAACACTCATAATTAACACTAATTTAATGTATCATTGTTTTGGTTTTCAAAGTTGAAGTGAGAACGCTACAGTTTTCCCTTGATAAAGAAAGTGTTGTCATAAACGTGGCAGTATTGCACCACCTACATGTAATCATACCTGTCAATCGCCTTCGGCACTTTTGTCTTACATAAACTTTAACACATACATGTACTTGCCAATTTCATGAGGAGATGGCATGACTAACTGGGATTTGTGTCTAGCAAATAGAAAAATATATCTGAAGGCTATTTTTTAAGTCTTCATTTCCTGAGTTTCCCTTCTTGATTCAGTTGGGTAAACTATTATATGGGAAAGAGGATTTTGGACAACCTCACTTTTTTTTAGTTTACTGATAACTTCTTTAAGTTGTGAGCACTAATTTGGTTAGTTTAACCAGTGTTTAAAAGATCACGTTTGAATTGAGAAATGACAGAAAAAAAGTAATGCATACAGTTATGATTACACTGCACCTAGGCAATTTAAAAAAAAAAAAAAGTTGCAGTAATATCAGCTTTTTATATATATTGTTGTATCAATAGACACAGGTTATGATATGATGCCATAGGTTAAGTTACATGTAATGTAGATGTAAAAAGATGTCAGATGTTTGTGAGTGAAATACTTTCTCAACCATATCTAGAAAAATGAAACAAGTAGGTTTATACTGGAGACTTTGCCAGAGAATATTGTAATATTTCGGAATAACCTAACTTGGATTTGATCAGTAAATGAGCGTTGTCGGTCATAGTTGTGTCATTTCTGCATAATCAGATCAACATTTAGTAGATTCTGCATCATTCCTACTTGCCATTACATATTGCAATCAAATTGACATAAAGTGGGCGGGGGACGTACAGTGAAAGTGTCAAATATGAACAAAAGGCCATTACAAACATTGATATTTCATTGGCCAGACCCAAAACTAGCTAGATTAGGCAGGTAGACATATTATCAAGGTGGACAGAATAGCAGAGTGAATGAGTAGCAGTTTAATTTACTGTAGACCCACTCACTATGTAGAACCCATGTTTTGTAAAGGATGGTTCAATTAGGAATAAGACCACAACAACCTGATATGCTGTACAATCAGCATAAAGTCAAAAGCACGAGGAGCTAAAATCCACCAAACGATCGTAGACACAAGTAACATAAAGACTGCTGTGTAAGTTGTAACTGAATCATACTGTAAGAACAGATTGTATAGTAAGAAAAAAAACCCAAATCATCAAAGTTAAAAACAACAAAGATGCGATATCTGTGGGGTTTCCAACTGGTTTTGTTGGTTCCTTTCATTTTCTCCAGAATTACTCTTTGGAGACAGTGATGAAATGGAACCAGAGGCAGTTGCCAACTTGATGGGGGAGCTTTTAAGTGCAAGTGTCAACAGAATAGCTGAAAGTGCCCACAGCACAAGTGGAGGTTAGAGCTGCCGTGTACTATCCCACACTAAAAGTGCATTTAGCTACGCAAAACATTACTCTGCCTTCTGAAATCATTAATTCATACCTTTATTGAATCCATGAGACGTGTGTAAAAGGCCTAGGACATTGATATCACATCATTTTGAGGAATGCAGTGCGAAGAGACATTACAACGTGGGAAATGGAAGGAAAAAATCGGTCCCGAAAAAATAATTGAACTTGCAGTTAAGGTATAAGTTCAAAATGAGCAAGCTTTGTTTGTATTTTTTTTTTTTTTTTACAAATCTATGATTAGTGTTCTTGTTTCAAACATGAGATATTATCTGTCCAGTTTGATGTCACCCTTTGATATGCACTCTTAGTAGCTCACATAGAACGCTTACTTGTAAAACTTGTACAACTTGTTTCACGATTTTTCTGTCATTGATATTTCGGTCAGGTTTTTTCTATAGATGAATGTTGGTACGTGTACTTTAATTGAAAATTGGAATCTGTTGGAGTGAGTACTGCACTAGTAAACTGTTTATGCTTTACATGGGGTCAGGCATACCACCATAATCAGAGTCCAACAGTTTGGGTGTAGAGTTTACCATATGGTGTTGGATTTTGCAAGAGTGAGGAAGGCTCCTAGTAAATCACTCAAGGGGTTAGGGTTAATGTTCTTTAATGCTAAAGATCTATAATATTTTATCTTTACTTACCTGTATGTTCAATGGGAAATATTTAGCAAGCTAATATTGTTAATTCTACCATTATGGTAACTATTAACACTGTAATTTGTGTAACAGTTTGTTACTGAGCCATCTGTGAGGGGCCCATATTGTGTGCTTTCATAATGAGCTTTTTTGTCATTTGTACATCTGAGGGTGACTTTCAGGAGATCGGTGTTCATTGTGTAAACATCCATTTTGCAAATTGCACCTATTTTTCATCAGATCAACTTGTGTATGCTTCTTGTGCTTCCTAGATTCATGAATTTTCTAGTTAAAATGTAAGATTTGAAGCTTTGCATGGTGGTAGTATAGATAGAGAAGGTTTGTGGTAACACCATGTGGATATCTCTTTTGGGAAGGTGTGTGGTTCTGAAAAGAACCGGTTGGTTGTAAAAACCATCCAACGGGCTCTTTTCAGAACCACACACCTTACCAACCAACCGGTTCTTTTCAGAACCACACACCTTTCCAGCCAACCGGTTCTTTTCAGAACCACACACCTTACCAACCAACCGGTTCTTTTCAGAACCACACACCTTTCCAGCCAACCGGTTCTTTTCAGAACCACACACCTTACCAACCAACCGGTTCTTTTCAGAACTACACGCCTTTTCAGCCAACCGGTTCTTTTCAGAACCACACACCTTACCAACCAACTGGTTCTTTTCAGAACCACACACCTTCCCAAAACAGATATCCACATGGTGTTACTGCAAACCTTCACTATTTCCAGATACATTTGGTAATAAAATAGTTGGAATTGCACATGTTATGGTGTAAATAAAGGACACACGCACACAAGGAAATGCCTTTTTTATGATGGAGGACATATACCAAAGTGACAGGCAGGCAATTTTTCCTTGGGTCAGCCAATTTCCTTGCTTTTACTTTTACAGTTTTTTACGTCATTCAAAATTGAAAAACAATGTATAAAATCTTGGAATTGGAATTTCCTTGTTTTTGGTTACTTTCCAGTTGCATCCCTGAAGTGAGAACAGTCCTGTGTACAAAACCAATGAGAGGTGCTGCAGAAAGTTTGTCTATGATTTACACCATACACAAACATGTGTCTTAGAATGCTTACAATCTGATCTTGTCTTGAGACGTTTTAGGTTTTGCTGTCTCAACGGTCAAGTACCACGTGTGAACCAACCAACCAAGCCTGAGTTTATATCTCATGTGGATGAGAACAGTGTTCAGGGTTAACACCACATATTAACACTGGTAATCATTCGGATATATGCTTTGTGTGCTTGTTAGATGAGGTACCTGCAGGCCCCAAGCCCGCGGGACAGACGGGCACCGGAACTCCAGGGGGAGGGAGTACAGTCAGCAGCACAGGTGCCGGCGAGGCTGATCATGTGGTCATCATGCCTGAGGAAGTACCGCCCACTGAGGCCGAACCAGCCGCAGAAGCAGTCAAGACGGTCAAGAAGGTACGTAAACTCACCTTTTATTGAGGTGTCCTGTTTTCAGCTCAATGTGCCCAAGAAATCTCTGGAGCAGGAACATTCCAAGCCTTGTTTTGCTCATGTTAAATGTGACAAATGAGACGGAACTGGGCATAGGCCGTAGTGGATTTATTCATATTTGTAATCTTTGCTATATCTTTTAAAGAAATAGAATACAAATTGTAGGGAAAAAAGGTTTGTCCGGAAAAACAATTGGCATCTTTCATTTTAACAAATACCAAACTCGATACCTTAAAAGCCTTTTCCTCAGTATTTTACTTTTTTGACATGTTGATAAATGCAAACCTAAAACAGACATAACTTGTCAACAACGGAATGTCCAATTGAAGTGCAACAAACAGTATTGTGAGGAGAATTTTACTCTCTTTCCAAATACCCACAAAACCTCATTTTGATCTTTGCCCAGCTCTGTCTCATGTTGCCAGAACGCCTCACAAATATGACATCTTTAAATTTGCATACTAGTCATTCTATTAATTTGCAGTCCACTTTTTTCCCTGCCCCTGTTGCATCTGGCATCTTTGATTCTTGTTAAAATTCTGAATGCACTCCTTAATGCAGTCATCTTCCAAGATTGGTTATGAATAGCAATGCAGTCAAATAAATATTTTTTAAAGTCATTCTTAATTATGCTGTGATGGTAAATTACAAAGAACCAGTAACAGGGACAGGAAATATGTCATATTTTGGACCCTAAATTTATAGAATGGTCCACATGAACTTTCCTTTTTCAGGGGGTGAGTTGGGGAGATTAACTCTCCATGTATGGAATTAATTCTTAAGTAGACGGAAATAACACAGTGATATTAGAGTCAATATATCAACTCGTCGTCTCTAGGATGACGCCATTTTGAGACGCTAACATCCAGTTCGTGACATGAGTTTGACGTTCAGTGACATAGAACCGATATGCTTTGAATGTTTTTCCGACCTTATGCTTAAAGTTGTTTGAAATCGTCATTTGAATGTGTGATTCTTTTTGAAACACCATTGGATGCCGTTGCAGAAGTTTAAACGGATGGTGGCTTTTGGTAAAAAACACATCAGTTACATCCCGGTAGGTATGGTGTTGTGGCTCAGTACCGGTACCAAACGGTCTGTGGAATATGGAGGGTTCATCATTTTGGACTCGGCATTTGGGTTTTTATTTGTTGGTTTGCTTTTCTCCTTTATTTGTAGAAGGATAGTTTGGAGAGGATTTCTCGGTGCCATGATTTGAGAGATTTTTTTGTGAGCGCTGTGTATGTGTGGTGTTGGGTTTCTGTGAATGTAACGCGTTTGGTTGAGTTTGTAGAGCTGGGGCAGAAATTAAAAATTCCTTCCAATTTTCTACCCTACCCCACCCAGCCAAAAATAAGTAATTTTCATAAAGATTATCATGTCCTAGAACAGTGACTAAAATGTTTTAAAGTGAGGTCCTTTTTAAAACTGTGAAGAATGTTGTTTGAAGAATATATATATGAAACAGGAAAAAAATGTAGTTTTGTAAATTTTCTGTTCAGAACAAAAATGCATACTGGTATGCTTTAAGACAGTTCTATTTTAGTTTTTTTTTTCATATGATGGGAGTGGTTGAGACTGGCTGGCTCTTCCTCCCATTCAAACAGAGGGATCAGGAACCAGTGCATTTGGCTTCATTTTTTTGTTTCTTGGAGTAGCCAACAATTATTCATAGAGATCAGTGGGTCAGATATCATGATGAATAATATCATGATTTATGGTTAAGGTTTTTGGTTAAGGTTTTTGGATGGTTTGAAAATCTGTTGTATGTTGCTTATCCTATGCTGTCCCAAGCTGCTTTGCAAAAGGGTGCATACATTGCTGGTAGGTGTTTCTTTGTCCAAAAAATAATTGCAGTTCTATAAATCGCAAAAGCGGCCCCAGCAAGCTTATGAAGCCCCCAGCAACCAGCATTTCATTCTTCAGTTCCTTGGCCAAATACGAAGCCTAGCTTTTTTTTTTCCAAGTGTGCATTTGTTGTGAGGTAAAGTGTGAAGATGCAGGTCTTGGCCGAGACTAGTTATAAAGGTAGTTTTGGTCATCTGAGGTATGTGGTATGAAGAAAGTTCTAACCCCTCCCCCACCCCCACTTGGACCCTATAAAAAAGGAAAACTTTTGCTTCTGATAGAAATAAGGAAATTTCAAGTTTTTCTGCTCCCAGGAAATTCAGGTGGCAAGTTTATACTTGAAGGTGATTGGGTATTAAAAGTATTGGAAGGCAAAAACAATAGATGATAACAAAATTGCAATATTAAAACAAAAATGGTCAGCTGTAGATTGTGAATATTATAAATTCTGTTTGGAGCCAAAACAACGTTGTTTTTTTTTTTATGAGATGATGTTCATTGGCTGGGAGTTGTGACTGGGTTAACTTGGTAATTGTTAGCCATGTATCTTTTTTTTATATTATTTGTAGAGGGGTGACATTTTGTGTCCAATTTAACACCACAGTACACCCATATTTAATGGTGTAAGCAGCTGTGAAAATTAGGAGTCATTCCATGTTGAAAGGGTTGCAGGATTCTTGTCACAATTAAACATGGGAAATTTTATCCGATGGACAATTTGTGGTATTGACCTTTTTATTAACAAAAAAAATTAACCTACATGTAATTGAAGAGTTCCTTTGCAAAAGCCATTTAACGCCAATATAAAAAATCTTTTTCAAGTGAAATTGTCAAGAGTTCTCAAGATATGACTTAATGGGCAGTCCACATTTGTGCACATGTAATGGGCTCTGCGTTGTTTTAAAGCGGATTTTCTCAAAAAGGTGAAAAATGGAGATAACTATTTTTTGTTTTTGCAAAAGGACTCTTCAATTGTTCTTTTGTTTGTACTAACAATGCCATTCAATTCCCATAATTCATCTAGCTGCCATCCTCTGACTCGGATAAGCCATTTATTCCGGTAAATCATCACTGTTCCTTGTGTTTGTTATCATGTTCATTGTTATCAATTGGCTCCTTTTTTATATTATGAAAAAAAGGAGTGTTGCTTCAGACCCAACACTTGGAATGGTCACACGGTTGGCATAACCTGATCCTATGGGCTCCGTGCGCCAACAAACGAGGGCGCTTTATGCCACTTTTGAAAGCCCCATGGACGGAACACACCGCGTGTGTGTACTGCTTCGTGCGCGAAGTACGCACGGCTGATTTATCCTGAATGTGCACAAAGCTAAGCCATAGCGTCTTACCGGGGTTGAGCATCAAGCATCGTCGACCCGCGGATGCGTGCGAATGTCTCTTTCGATGGTCTCCCCTAGACTAGTCCCCGCCTCCCATAAATATAGTTACATTCAAAGTCCGCAATGGATGGAATGGGAACCAGCCTAGGTTTCCCCTAACTTTCCTTTTTTGGCCGTTGAAGGGGCATTTGTGCATGGAGCCCATACTGTTGTATTTCATCCATACGAATATCACTTGATATGGATGATTTGGAAGAAAATACGGATGGAATGACAAAAATTGTAATCTTCGATTCTTTGAATAGTTTCTTAACCGTTTTTTTTTTTTTTTTTTGGTTTCCGAAACATTTGGAAGGTTTTTAGAAGAATATTAGTTTTGAATTGACATACCTCATGGATTACATCAAAATGCTAAGGATAAGGAAAAGTTGAAGACATTGTAGCATCCTTTATGTTATGGTGGTTCACTTTGACATCATGGATACAACATTTGAATGAGATAAATATGTACATTCGTGCATTCATGTTTGTGTTGTTCATTGAGTTGGGACTGAAGTCTTTATTCAGTGGCATGGCATGTTGGAGTTTCACTCTGAACATAGTGAATTGAGAAAATGTTTATTGACAGTGATTGTCATGTTGACGGTAATAATAGACTGTACATCTACCATCTTCTTGTTTGTGTTTGTTTTCTGAATGAGTAGAGTAGGAATAAATACAAATAGAGAAATAAATACATTTATAGAAATGTAATTTACAATTTGAATGTGTCTTTGTTTTCCTTCATACAATGATATAATCTTTGATTCTGTGTGTGTTGAATCATCAAACAGGAGGTCAATGAGGATGAGATCGACTGGTGGTCCAAGTACTACGCATCGACCGACGAAGTGGAGAAGTGTGGCGACTACCTAGAGCGAGGATATGACACACTGGAGGTAAGTTAGAATTTCTCATGATAGACTCCATGCACAAACAGTAGAGGGCGCCTTGTCACCACTCACAAGCGCGCCAAGTCGTATTTTACCATTATATTTTAGGACAAGGCATTGTCTTTCCCTTTGTTCCTGTAATGTAACAGTCTTTCGTAGACTGAGCACACACATGTTCGAGGACAGTTTTCAACAAAGGATGAACTAAGGACATCAGGTTTCCTTGGTGTTTATAAATTTTAATAACGATAAGGACAATGTCGTCTGTTATCACCTGTAAAGTGAAGCTTTTTATCTTCCGATCTTGTTTCGTAAAACTACAAACGTGAAATACTAGATATGGAGCTGTATTGTTGAAGGGGAACGCTCTGTTTATTATGGCAAGTTATATTTTTGGGTTTTATTTTTCTTGGCCGTTAGATCTACACTGGTCCCTTGGAGAACCAGGACCCGTACAATGAATTCTCGGATTTCTGCAACACCTATGAACTGAGCCGAGGAAAAAACAAGGATAAAGACGACGAGGAATCCAGTGGTATTGGAGAATTCAAAGTGAGTGTTGCACAAGAATGTACAGACTAGGGAAAAATAATAAGTTTGATTGGTAAGAAAGTTCAGATAAAGTTTGTAAACTGTTAAATTGAAAAGGAGGAAGTTAGTCATAATTTATTAAGAGCTACCGTAAAGGATTGACCTGCTGTAGCAAAACCATACAGGTACATGTTCTGCAGATAGACCCCGCATTCTGGGGCTCCGTTCTGTTAAATATTTTTCATGGATTTTATTTATTTTCTTCAATCTCACTCCTTTTATTCTTTGAACATGAGCCTATGGGCCTTATTCACGAGTCGGCCATATTGAATTTAAAGTGAGGTTAAATCTTCATTTTTGGAACTTGCGAAGAAAACTGAAAGCAATGACATAAAGTTAATTGCACATTACACCAGTCAGAGCTAATGAATCATTTTAAATTTGTGATGAAACATACCCTAATGTTTTAAGCCACAAAAAAAATGGAAGTGGGGCTAGAATGCATAAATGTGACCGGCTCTGCAAAAAGGCTGAAATTGAGTTATATACATGGCAGGAAAGCCGACAATGTAGGCCTAAGCTTTCACTTGGTATATAATAGAGCTCCATAGCCCCTCCCGTTCTGGAGATATGACGTATTTGCATATCAATTACTTCCTTGGAATTCAAATTACACCACTGAGAAAATGGGCTTTGAAAAAGCTGGCTTTCTTGTAGAACAACAGAACTATGCACACAAAATGGTTGTTTTTTCCACTCAAAATTTCCACATCAAAATCAACATTTCTGTGAGTGAAACCTGAAACTGTAGATGTCATTCATGATAAAAAGTGAAAATCACATTTTGAAATGTTCACCCTCAGGGGTGTGAAATCTCAGCTTTAAAGCTGATTTCAGCTTTTTTGGTTTTGGATTTCACCTTTTTTTTTCAGCTTTTTCCCTCACTTGCTGTGTACAAAAGTATAGGAGGTCTCCAAAATTCAGCTTTTTTACACCTTTTTCAGCTGTTTTCAGCTATTTTTATCAGTGGTCACTCACACCCCTGACCCTCTTAATGTTGATCAGGCCATTACACAATAATGCTTAGCGCGACTTAATACCCTTTTTTGTGGAGCCGGTCAAAATTAGTCCGGTACCATCCTATTGAACAGATCACAATTCATAAACACATTCAGGGAACCCAACCAAAATGGCTTTCTGGTGAATAAGGTCCATTGACCTGCACTGAGCTTTTGAATGTGTGTTTTGAACGCAGGGATTATTCCGCATCTATCCTCTGCCCGGAGACCCTAAGGCCCCACTTCCACCCAAGGTCTTCAAGCATCTACCCCCCAGCAACCCCGTGGAGTGTGTCGTCCGTCTGTATGTCATCAAAGGCATTGATCTGCAGCCACAGGATCCCAACGGATTGGTAAGTGACTTAGTCCAAGTTTGATGAGCACCTTAATAATAGTGGGTATTTATAAAGGGCACGTATCCTCCAGGACTGGTGCTCAAGGCGCTTCATATTATCCCTGCACATTGGGCCAATGAAACATTCCAAATACCATCTCAGCTCCCTGGGGAGTATACAGCTCGATGCAGCCTGTTAGGTGCAAGGAAGCTAATGCAATCACAAAAACCAACTCTGCCCTCACAAGTACCCATTTACTCCTGGGTGGAGAGAAGCAATGAGTGACAAAGTGCCTTGCCCAAGGGCACACGCACCATGACCCCGGCTGGACTTGAACCCACAACCCGCAGCTTTACCTGCAGACCACGAATCCAGTGTCCTGAACCATGAGGCCACAGCACTCCACTTTAACTTCTTTTCAAACCACGTAGAATTATTTGCAACTATCCCGAAAACTACTTACCGATATAATGATAGAATTTTTTTGCTGAAAGTGAAGATGAGACTGGTATCAAGTACCCTTTGAAATCATTCCGCCTGTAATGGTATCGTTCAGAAGAAAGAAAACATTGATTGTGATTTCAAAATAATGTGCGCGTAGGCATGCTTTTTTTTGTACGTGCATTAGCAACGAAATCCAGTTACAAGACCCCAAAAATTGTGCACATGTTTTGTCTGTTTTCTCAAAATGTGTAGTAGCCACTGAACTAAAACGTCTACAGGTTAGTTGTTAATACGCACTCTATAGGATTTAGAGCACTTTTGTTGCTGGAAACGAAAAAAAATGTGCAAAAAACAAATTATCCCTTGTATCTTTAACCATAGCTTGACTAATTCTGATCAAATGCTGTTTAGTCAGTGATGGTTGGACTAGGGTAGTCAACTATGCAAATAGTATTCTAGTATATTTCTTAATAAATTATGCAGTATGATCACCATTAAATAATTATGCCAAATGCCAAATAATTCAACTGCATCATGTTCATAACCGTTATGACACCTCCAATTTTCAAGATCGAGAGACCTTGTATGTTGTGCTCATTCAAGTTGTTTCAAGTATAATTGGTTTTTTGGGGTTTTTTCTTTAGTCTGATCCGTTCTTGAAAGTGCAGCTGGGCAGGAAGAAGATCAGTGAGGACGATGACTATATTCCAAACACCCTCAACCCAGTCTTTGGAAAGTGAGTATGGTTCCTGAATGCAGATACATGTAGGTTTTGGAATGCAACTAGACTTGCTTAAAGGACATTCAACATTTGCTTTTGCTGTAATTTCAGTGATGGATGGATTTGGGGGTTAGTATTTTATAGCAAACATTGTTAAACTGACTTGTTTCAAGTTTTGTGTTCGTAGATGCTGGAAAAACCGTGAAAAACAATTATGTTCTTGTAGTCTGGTTCCTTTACCCACTTAATTGTAATTGAGCAATTTATAGACCTCAGAAAATTGTAAAGCCAGGGAACCAGTCTAGCTGGCTTGTACCCATTCAAAGGTGTGTAATAGATTGCAAACAAAATTCAGACTAACTAAATGATGGTAAATTGGGAGCAGTATTTGAAAAAAAGCCATTTTTCGGCCGACCAGCGTTGGAAATTGATACAAAAATACCACTTTTCTTGAAAATGTCAGCACACCAGGTGCCATGATATTACAGAATGCTTTAGACTCTCATTCACTAACAGTCCAGTAAGGTATTTCATAATAATTTGGTAGTTTTGTTGTTAGATGTTTGCGAGCGCTGTATATTCCCTTTAAGTCCTATAAATCCTGTTGAAAACCTATTTTCATCCCATTTTATTCAGTCACAATAATACAACTGGGGGATTTTTTATTGCCATTTTCTCAACAATTGCTTTTACAACTTTAGTATAGTTTGTGATCTATATTTCCGTTATTGAACTCGGTACCCCCAAATGTTCTATCCTATTAGAGAGCCCTTGTTCCCGCTAAATCCAGAAATACAAAGATCTCAATTCCTAAAAAAAAGTCTGACTTTGTACTCTTTTTGTGATGATGGATCACATTTATACAATGACATCAAATCTATGTATTTGATTTGCAGGATGTTTGAGATCAAGACCTTCTTGCCAGTTCACAAGGACTTGACTGTGTCTGTTTGGGATCATGATCTCCTGAGCAAAGACGACATCATCGGAGAGACCGTCATCGATCTGGAGAACCGCTACTTGACCAAGTATCGCGCCAGCTGTGGACTGCCGCAGACTTACGCTGTGTAAGTCCAAAACATTACCTTTTGGAAGACAAGACAAGGCAGGCGTATAGTGAAGCTGCTCAAAGAGTGCACACATTTCTACTAAATGAATTCAGAATGGTCAAAAAGTTTGTAGCTGTAGTGGTAACATGATGGAAACGATCAATCTACTTTCGCCACTTTCACAGAGACCTAACCCTAACCCCCCAGGCCCTTTCTGCTAGGAACCATCCTCAATCCTTCAAAAATCGCCCAAAATTTAAAAATCCTCAGTCCTCCAAAATCCTCACAAAACTTTGCACTTATGTTCAAATGGAGGATACCAAGCGCCTCAATCCTTCAAAATCTTCAGACACTCTTGCCTCAAAAAATGCATTCATCCTGAATCCTCCAAAATCCTCCTCTTCTTCAAACACCATTCATTCCCAATCCTCCAAAAGGGTTAGGGTTAATATATTGCCCAGATATGTATCGTGGAAGCACATGCAACACACCTTACCAGACTGATACACTTGTGGTGTAGGTTCTACAGGCAAGCCTTGTAAAACTGGTCTTTCATTTTAGAAATTACCCTGAAATTATGATCTAAATGACTTGCAGGACCGGACCCAACAAATGGCGTGACACACAGAAGCCTATGGAGATCCTGGACGACTACTGCAAGAAGAACAACATTCCTGGGCCCTTCTACTACGGAGCGACCAAAGTTGGTGTCGACGGGAAGATGTACAACCTGGCTGACTTCGGTGAGTTGGAAAAAGTTTCCATTGAGTATGCACAAGCTTGGGCTCTCTTGTAAACGAAAACTCCCCAAAGATATTTACTGGCACATGGTATTGGCTGTAGATTTACAGTTAGACGTATTTAGGAATGGTTTTGGTGAGTATGTAAAGACCAGGAATCGTGGGGCTAGGACAAAAGGGTTAGGGCACAAACAAGATTTCCACAATTGACCGAACGTCCACAATTGAGATTCGTGTACAAAACTAATGAGAGTTGTTGCTAAAAAGTTACAAACAAAGGAATGATTAGGTACAATAGGGGTGCACGATTGCCAGGGTGTTTACGAAGATGTGTGAGTGTGTGATGTTGTCTACACTTCTATTTTTTTCCTAATGGAGGAGGTATTGAATCTGTCAAACAACAAAAGCTGGTTATAATCCTCCCTCCCCCCCCCCCCCCAAAAAAAATGAAAAAATGAAAAATGCAAAAGAAGTCTAGGCCACTTTTTCAAAAACATCCATTCTGAAACTCCTCCCCTACCCAAGACCCTAAACCTGGGTATTCTACTGTCATCATGTACGTGTACGTTGCTTCATTTAGTTTGAACCAACGGTGCACCTGCATTTAAGCTATTTTGTATAGCCACTCTCCTGAAGACGGTCATGGCATACTGACCGGAACGTTCAGTTTATACTTCTGGTTCCTTTCACAACCATTCTCTTAGCCGAAAAAATTATCCACACATGGTGTTTCCGCAAACCTTTCATTCATTATTTTGTATACATGTCAATATTTACATGTTTTGTTGATATTCATTGACAGAGTTGAACAAGATCCACACTGACCACGAGGGGCCAGCCGATGAGCGTCTGGCACTCCACGTCCTCCGTGCTCAGGGATTGGTCAAGGAACATCTGGAGACCAGGCCGATCTACAGCCCCCTGCTGCCGGGCATTGAGCAAGGCAAGCTGCAGATGTGGATAGACGTCTTCCCCTTGACTCTGGGTCCACCAGGCGAACCGAGAGACATCATGCCACGTCAGCCCAAAAAGTATGTCCAATAGACCGTAATCATGTTGCGGCCATCTTGATTTTTTCCCTCCATTCAAATCAACGTAACCAAAGCGAGGCTGGAAGGAAAAATAGTCTGGTTCTTTTTTGCACAAGAAACATTATCATTCAGTACTGTTATTGGATACAGGGAACATGACTGTAATGGTGGTAGCATGATAAAGGTCTATAAAGGCCAAATCTTGCATCAAGTTCAGTTAGTTCATAAAATGAGGCAAATTCTGGGCAGTTCTTTTTAGTATGGGCTCCGTGCACAAGTACCCCCCACAATAGTTAACAAAGATCATGTGTGTACTTAACATGATACTCTCGCAAACGAGAGAATGCTTGTTAACAAGTCAAGCAAGAACGCTGTCATTTTTATATGCACATAGTGGTATCAAACAGGATTTTCTTGGATTGTGAATTGGATACAACAAATGTTGCGTGACTTTCTCTTCAGGTACGTGCTGCGATGTGTGATTTGGAACACCAAGGATGTCATCCTAGATGAAACCTCCATCACCGGAGAGAAGATGAGCGATATCTATGTCAAAGGGTCAGTCATTGGCTCAAGTCTCATGCAAAATAGCTGCTAATTTGCATGTTAATTAAAATTTAACTGCTAAAAATTTAAGTCCTTTAACTATCTGTCAGATTTGTGAGGCGTTCTGGCAAAATGAGAAAGAACTGGGCAGAGGTTGAATGAGGGTTTGTAGGTATTAGGAAAGAGAATAAACTTCTCCTTACAATACTGGTTGTTGCACTTCAATCGGAAATTCCGTTGACAATTTATGGCTGTTTGTAGATCCCATTTATTGACATGTCAATCAACTCTTTCAGTGCCTGCCAAATTTGAAAAGTTTAACCCTAAAGTGCCCAACTTTGAGGGTTTTTTTTAATTGTTCAAAATTCTGTAAAAAAAAAAGTAAGTAAGTTTTACTCACTAAATTTGTTGTCGTTGCTCTATGGTATATCCTTGGTACATTGGAAAGTCAATAGTAGTCACGTACATAGTGATACACCCTGAAACACTGTCCTGCACACAGGGGAATTCCGCACATTTTGCAGAAAATACGAGTGTCAGTGCTGCGCCCTCTCGCAAGAACTCGAATTAACAAATAAATACAGGTCGTACCTGAATGAAAATGGATTATTAGAAAGAGTGAGAGCTCCCCCTTGTGATAACATGCTTACTCTACCTCGTACATGTACAAGGTTTGGCGATTTTAAGTACGAACATTACCTCGTACATGTACGAGGTTGGCAATTTCGAACTAACAAATATACCTCGTACATGTACGACTTTGGCACTGAAAGAGTTAAGTAAAATACTGAGAAAAACCTTGTCTTATTTTGTAGCTGGATGCGCGGTCAGGATGACAAGCAGCAGACTGATGTTCACTATCGTTCCCTCAACGGAGAAGGCAACTTCAACTGGCGTTTTGTCTTCCCGATTGATTACATTCCTCCCGAGCAAGTCATGGTTATCAGGAAGAAGGTAAAAAAATCTCCTTTGTTTCCTTGAGACGTTCTTCAAAAACTTTACCATTTTTTTCGCAATTCTCCATTTCAGTATCATTTAGCTTCAGTTGTTTCTAAATCTCTTACATATGAACAGTAGAACAAAAAAATTGTGAAATATTCTCAGATCACATTTGTTTAAACACGTACTAGTCAAATTCCATCAAAAGATGTAACTGGTTGGTACAGCTGGCATATCAATCACCTCCAGTCAAGGCATGGCTATATCAAGTGAATAAGGGAATTCTTAACTACTGAAAACAGTCGCTTGGTTGATTTTGACTGCTGTGATGGCGTACGTGTAGCTGAATTTGTCAGCCGGACAGGGAAGGCTTTAACAAGAGTATCTAGTTAAATGCTGCCGTTCTGTTGCGTTTGCGTTAAATTTGGTTGTTCTTTTGTTTATGAAGAATGAAGTAGTATTTGCACGGTGGAAAATGCAGTCGTCGGTATTGGGTAGTAGGTTGTAAGATAATCAAACAAACCCTGGTATTGTCATAGATGTTCAGCCAACATTTTACCCTTTAATGGGAGATTTTTGAGACGTTGGTAGCAGCAAACACACCGGTCCTCTTTCCATTGTTTGCGTCATATTGAGCATGCGCGCTTTATCTTAAACATGACATAGACAATTGCAAAGAACTGTTGTGTTTGCTGCCACCACCGTCTCAAAAGTCTCCCATTCCTTAGACCAGATTGAATTCCAAATCTAAATTCATGATGTCAACTCCAATGTCTCTAGCTATAATGATCCCGTTAAACGTGGAACCTACAACTCTGTATTTTTCAATTTGTCTAAATATAACATTATAAATCCTCAGAGGCGGCTGTTTCCAACAGGAGTAAGTATTCAAGCGACGACAATTTTAGCACCATCAAGACAAATACTGATTCAAACCCTAATCCTCCAAAATCGTTGAAGTTGTTCAGTGGAGGGGTGACCACTGCCTCAATCCTTCAAAATCCTCCAACAATCACTGTTGATGGGTTGAGGCAGTGCTGATAACACTCCGAAGCAGTGCGGATGATATCGAGCATAATGCAAGGCTCAATTGTGCATGATGAACATAAACAATGCTGGGTACAGCCTACCAACTCGGCACAAAGCAGCCTCCACAATCAACCTTTACTTCAGCCTAAATCCTCCAAAATCCTCCAAAAATCCTCCAAAATCCTTCCCCAAAAACTGTCTGGAGGATTTTGGAGGATTGAGGAAGGTTAGGGCTAAAGATGATAGTCCCTCTAATTTTCCCTGACCCAGTTATAAATGTTAACCCTAACCCCCTAGGGTGTGTGTGAAAGGTCTTATTAAGATTAAAGACTTCAGAACTGTTGGGGTGTCGCTAATAATAGAACCACTAGACCAGGCACTGTGTTGCCTCTATGTTAACACTGACATTACAATATTTGACATGAAATTAATTATTTTACTGATTCTGTTCAGTCACTATTTATTGATTGGATAAAATCAAACTTTTTTTTTAAATACAAAGAAAGACTAACTGCACTCTGTTTAGTAATTCTCGAAATTCATTCCCCAAGGAATTCTTTTATTGATAATAATAAAATTATTGAAACAGATTCCATCGAACTCCTTGGATTATATCTTGATAACAAATAATCATGGAAGAATCGTATTGATTAAACTTTACATGTTTGCAACATTGATTTAAAAAAATGTAGGCACAATTCATAGACTAAAGTTTTATATTTGAAAAAAGTAATATTTTGCTGACCTTATGTAACACTTTAATCTTGTCTTATACATATATTAATTATGGAATTGTACCTTGGGGAAATTAATCACACAGATCACTAAAAGTATTAAAATTCTGGAATTTTTTGCACAAATCCTTACAAGATTTAACATCCGTATCTATTTTTAAAACTAAATTGAAAAATACCTTAGACAGTTCACCAATTCCTATTGGTCGAGAGCCTGTCACATGAGTGGTTTTAAAATATATATTTAGCACTACGTGCGCCATACCATAGACATGGCCAGAGGGTGTTTCACAAAACGTGAGGTAATGTTGTTGAAAAAAATCGTTGAAATTTTTGACTTGTTTTGTCTTTTTGACCGAAATGTATTTGTGAATGGGAATAAATATGTCTTTGGCCAGTATGAAACAGTATGTTAAAAACTTGATAGGGGCCTTGACGCGGATAATGGCCCAAACCAAATATCTGCGTCCAGGCCCATAACGAGTTTTAAATGTACATGATTAAACTGGCCAAACATAAATTTATTCCCTTATTCAAACAGTTCTTTCTAAACACACAAACCCTTGTTTATAAATTTACTTGTCACTGGCTTTCAAATGGAATATTTTAATTGTTTACTTTAAATATTAATCATCTGTGGTATAATCAATTCTTGGTTTGATAATTTTTTATTTACCAATTTTATCAAATTGTTAATGGGTTATTTTTACAGGTGAGTCCTCTTTACTCCTCTACAGGGGACTAGCACTCAACAGACCTTTTTTTTTCTCCTTTTCTAAATCCCCCCCCCCCCCCCCGAATAATTATCTCCACCAAGGAGGTTATGTTTTTATCATGTTGGTTGGTTGGTTGGTTTGTTAACAAAATAACTCAAAAAGTTAAGGACAGATTTGAATAAAAATTGTTGTAGGGGTGGTCCTTGGTACAAGTACAAATCAATTAGATTTTGGAAGTGATCTGGATCTGGATCTGGGTCTGGTTTCCAGGATTTTGTTTAAATCATTCTGCACCATTTATGCGAGGATTTCTTTTGGGTGTACTGACAAGCATGTCAATAGATGGCGTCCTCTAACACTCGCGGTCATAGCGCTTCAGTTGTTTCCCATCTGAGTATTTCTCATGCCCCACCGAAGGATCTCACATTGCCACAATATGGCAGGGAATTGTTTAGCCTTGGCGGAGGTTTGCGCTCTTGGAGTGCTTTCTAGGTTTTTTTTAGTAGTTGTGTTTTGTAGTATACTTTGTAGCTAAGTCCAATTGAGGTAAGTTGAAGATGGGATTTTTTTTAGGAGACTTATCAAGTTCTGATTGTTCACCATCCTGACTCCTTTTTGCTGATAGGAACATTTCTGGAGCCTGGATAAGACTGAGACCCACGTGCCACCGGTCTTCACCCTTCAAGTGTGGGACAACGACAAGTTCTCTGCTGATGACTTCCTGGGTAAGCCAGTCTTCACTTTCATTTCGTTTCAGTCAGTGATTATCTTCAGATGTTAACAGATCCACATAAGTATTGACTTATTTTTTAATTGTAAGTGTCCTTTAGACTTGTCAGGTAGCTGTTATTTAAAAAATATCATGCTGTGTAGCACCAAAATGCTCCAATACATTCTTTAAAAAAAATTTGAAACAAACAAAGTTGCTTCGGTCGTTCTGAGTCAACTCTTATGTATACTTCATTTACAAGTGTGTCATAATGTCGCAAAATGTTCCCCATCTTCATGAAAAGACCCAAAAGTGAACCATTAAATGTACCGTACCGGGTGTCTCCAAAACAAATGTCTCCAACAATGTTGGTTATTTTAGGAAACAAAATTCATTTTTTTTAAATGATATATAGTGTTTCTTTACCCTTGGCAGGATTTTTGCTGCGTATGATTTTGGACCTTCTATTTAAAAGTTACGGCAAAGCTTGCAAAGACTGTCAAAATCTGTTTGGGCCACTTTATTCACCTTCTTTGTTTGTGAATGCCTTTGATACCAAGTGGCTCAACTTGGAATTCAAGTCCTTTCATTTAATGAGCTGTATCTCTGGACTGGGATGTCCAAATAAGATGGGATAAAGACCATTGTGTAGAGTATCTTCTACACCTTCAGACTCTGTAGATAAGCTAGTATTTTTAATGAATATGGATTGATTGCAACAGTTGTTATTGAGACACCCCGTACAAGTTTCAACTGGGAGATGAGAAAGTACGGTGAAACAATGTGCCATGTTTCCGTGTTCTCAGGTACCTTGGAACTGAACCTGAACAGCATGCCAGCGCCCAAGAAGAAATCCCGTCAGTGTGGCCTGAAGCAGCTACCTGACAACAAGGAAGGCAAGGAAGTCCCCATGGTGTCTCTCTTTGAGCAGAAGCGTGTCAACGGCTGGTGGCCGTGCATGAGTGAAGAGACCGGAGAACGGGAACTCACCGTATGTACATTTGTATATTTCACAACGCTTTGAGGGCTGGGGTGTTTTGGGGTTTTTGCTATTTTTTCATTTGTTTACAGTTAAAAAACTGGTTCCATTGGGGCCCTGTCAACATTAAAAAAAGTTAAGCACAGTTAAATTCACAAAGATAAAGTGCATTTGGCGGAACAGACCAGGAACATTAACACTTTTAAATACTTTCAAGTACTTACAAATACCAACAAGTGCTTCAGAAATAGGTACACAAACAAAAGCTGTATACACAAGTTCATTTTAAACAAACGAGGCTCAAAAACGGGCACAGAGTTGTGATGGGCGTCTCCACAATCTCCACAAGTCAAGTTTTCGCACTGCAACTTGTCAGAAATTTGCAATTGACTCAACGAATTTTGCTGCGAAGATTTTGTGACGTACGTTCACATGGGAGTGGCTTGGATGCTACTCTTGTCTTTACAAGTTTTTTCCCAAGAACAAAGATCTTATGTTTTAGCAACCAAATCTGGGGGGGGGGGGGGGGGGGGGGGGGGGCGTGATACATTGGCCACTCCCCTGGTCAGAAAAGGTGGAAACATCCTCCTATCCCATCTAGGATATGTGCCTGAGCGTCTCCTCAATCTCAAGATGTAATATTTTTTCTGGACCCTAGGGCAAGTTGGAGATTGAGTTGGAGATAGTAACTGAACAGGAGGCCGAGGAAAGACCAGCTGGCACAGCCAGGGATGATCCTAACGCTAACCCGACACTGGATCCACCAAAGTAAGTTGATATTACCCACATTATATATTTATCGACAGCTCTTTACCAAGAGTTTGCCTGAACAGTTTCCATTTGGAGCTCAGCAAACATCACAGATGACTACATTCAAAGGAAACACTGTTAAGCTCTTGGGTCGACCTGCGATTTGCTTGCGCCGCTACGGCATCAAGCAGAAAAGTCATGCTCGGGTCAGAAAACTGAGAGCTCGTGAAATTCTCGTGGAACAAGCGGCATTCCGACACAAAACAATTGCAACCATGCTCCTGTCGGGAACATGTTCTGTCACTGCGCAGATGTTAAAATTTTCTTCTCTTGCGATTGTTGATTTTTTTTTTTTTAGAGTCGACTGATGCCGATCGTCTTAATGTTGTAATCATACACTGTAAATCATTGCAAAGCTATAAGGCAAAGACAACTACATTATTGAATTCACAAAAGGTGTTCAAATTTCTTTTTAATGCACAGTGAATTTAATACATATTGCACAATTCTCGCACCATATTAGGAGTCGGACTATGTTAATTGTGCTGTTATGATTGTGTTGATCAGCTGTGCCTGTCTATATTTTCATTTGTTGGGTCTAAGGCCTTGTTCCCAACTGTCCCCGTTGTTGAAAAGCCTAACACTGAAAAGTCCTCTTGCATATTTTGTTAAAAGTAGGCATCCATGCAATACCAGTCACTTACGAAATGCATATCACATGATTTGTTATCTAAATATCTACAGATGTTTATGTAAGCATTTTGAAACACAAAGGTGTGATTTTCTGGAAATGTTATTTGGGAATCTGTTGTTAAACAAGTGGATTTTTATCATGTGATGTCACCAACTTCAGTGAAAGTTGGATAGATTGTTTCCCTTGTTTAACCCTAACCCCCTTCAGTGATTTACTAGGAACCTTCCTCACTCTTGCAAAATCCAACACCATATGGTAAACTCCACACCCAAACTGTTGGACTCTGATTATGGTGGTATGCCTGACCCCATATAAAGCATAATTATAAAGCATAATTAGTTTACTTGTTCAGTACTCATTCCAACAGATTCCAACAAAACATGCAGTTCGATTTTGAAGGGTTTGGGTGGTAAAGGTTAAGGAGCTCACTTGGCTAAATCATAGACCCCTAGATCAAATGTTAACAAACTTTGAAATGTCATCAACACCTTGACTGCATGGTAATTGTTGAGACAATATTCAGTGTTTTTTTCACCGTAAAACAAGTGGTTTCCTTTTGAAAAACAAATGGACTTATTTTCCAACAGTAATATGTCTGATTGACCCTTGCTTATTTCCTATGCTTGTATTTGACCAGTTGGTTTTGTTGGACCCAAAGTGATGCATATTTGATTTCTGTGAGAAAAAAAAAAATTCCATTAGAAAGAGCCTGCTGAAAGGTCAATCTCAAAAAAAAAGAATCATTCCAGTTTCAAGCTTCTAACATATTTATCTCCGCCAAGGAGGTTGTGTTTTCATCGGATTTGGTTAGTTGGTTGGTTGGTTTGTCTGTTAACAAGATAACTCTAAAAGTTATGGACGGATTTGCATGAAATTTTTTTAGGGGTGGTCCTTGGTATAAGTACAAATCAGTATAGATTTTAGAAGTGATCCGGATCTGGGTCTGGATCCATGATTATTTCGAAGGATTCTTCATCATTTATGCGAGTATTTCTTTTGGGTGTACTGACAATATGGCAGGGAATTGTTCAGCCTTGGCGGAGGTTTGCACTCTCTGAGTGCTTTCTAGTTTTTGTCATAGATCACTATTACCTTATTGTTTTTCGGGGGGGGGGGTTAAAGCCTGTACTTTTCTCAAAGCACATTTTGAACATTGTGTTTCCAATTTAACAAGGCCCAGTTATTGCAAAACATCAAATACAATACACTTCAGTAAGAAACTTGGTGTCTTCATTTATTTGTCCCCATGAGCTGTGGCACGGTTTAAACTTCGTTCTGATGAGCTGGCCCATTGCAGCAGCTGACTTTGTGGCTCACACAGTCTTGATTGACAGAATAATACAAAAACCCACACTGGTCTCAATTGTGTGTTTTGGCATCATCGGAAAACACAAGAGAATTCCTGGCCCAAGTGCATTATTGTTGAAACTTTTTTTGAGTCCGTGTGCAGTATTGTTCTCGGTTTTCATCACATCAGCTTTTTCAATCAGTCAGCGGCTAAGCTTTCTGGAATGTACCTCTCCCGCAGAGACTCCCGCTTGAGTGCCAGTGTAGGCGCAAGTGGTAAATGAAAACCCCCATCATTAAGGGAGCTTGCCCAACAATCAACAGGCCATAAATTTGTCGTTATCGGAATTGTTTTCTAATCTCCGGATTCAATGTGGGAATGAAATGGTCCGATTTGTTTTTCTGTGGGTGGTGTTTGTTTTCGTAAGGGGATAAATTTAGAAGAGTTAGTCTGAGTTGGTCATGAATTTGTACCAAGTGGCGAAAGTTTGAGAATTACAACAGCTCCTTGGGAGAATTGGTAAAAGTCTTAGAACTAGTGAATTATTGTCCATATTGTGTGCTTATATAATTTGTTCATTAAAGCACTCTCTCTGTGTGTAAGAACTTTGTTGCATCTCAACCAAAAAATCTTGATGTCGGTTCACTTTGCATTTGGCAGAAATTTGTAGGTCTGTACTTGTACTTGTACACTTGTAACTTGAAGCTTCAATGCAGAAAAAAAAGTCTGGTTGAGGATTTGAATCCAGAAGGGGAGCAATGACGTTCAAGACTTTGCCCGACTCTCTTTTTGTCATTGTTGTAAGGTACTTTTGCACGAAATCTAAGGATGTAACTTTCCGTTTATTTTTGTAAACGTTTAGCACATATTTTAAATACCGTTTAAATGTTTAGCCGTTTTACAAAGGCTGGCTCCTGCCCGTTATGTCTGCAGGATGGAGTGATTGACAGTATAAATCAACAATGATTGATAAATAGCGGGCAGTCATTAAAAAAGTAAAAACGTTACTTGATTGCACTGCAGTGCTTCTAAGGTTTTGTAAATTATATAGGTTTGAAAATATTGTTAATGATTTGTACTATGTATGTTTAACTCAAAGGAAGATCGCGTGGAGGTATATTTCTTTGATTATAATTGTCCTCAAAATGTTTTGGAAAATTTGTAAATGTACTTAGAATTTATTCTGTTTAAAAGGTGTAAACGTCATTTCCTTAAAGAAATCCAAGGACAATCAAGAGAGTCATTGTTGTGTCATTCATGAAAGAGTCCTTGGTTACTCGGTGGCCAACATGCACTTGTTGAATGTTTTTTAGTCGTTAAAGTGAGGTGGATGGATGAGACTGACTATGAAATTTCTGTCTTTTAAACTTTCCCGTCTGGGGGCAGGAGACAGAGTTGTGTTTTAATTGTGACTCAGACTTCCAGTCAAAGCAAAACAGATTGCCGTTTGAGTTGAGTTGAGTTGCACTGAAGAATGACTCTGCCCTGAACCTGACCTATTGGGCATGGACTTGAAAAAATGACTCAGATTTTGTGCCATATTTTGATGAGTGTAACTATAATTATCGGGGAAAAGAAATTAGTGTCTTTGCCAAGCTTGTGGAAACAAAGATCAAGAGCAAGTGTACTGATCATATCAAGACTGAAATAAGGGCACACAAAATCGTTGTAGAGATTAGCCTCAGCTCCAAGGGTGGATCGGGGGGGGGGGGGGGGGGGACCCTCCACACCCCTTTGGATCCATCGATGAGCTCAAGCCAGTAATCTCAGTAATTGTGTCTCACCTAGTATTTCAGAAACTAGCAACCCTGATCCTTCCCATCGCTAATCCATTGTTATTAAAGAATCCTCTCCCGTCGGCTTATCCCCTTTAATCTGGAGGGACTCAATTGTCAACGACGTAGCAATCGTCCTGCACGTGACAAAGCTACAGACAGATTTTAATCAAATGCAAATATTTTGAATTTTTGTGACTGTTTGAACCCCCTCCCGTCCGTTGATCGCCTGGCAAAGAAAACAAAAATTGCCCAGGAATGCCAGTTTCCAGGAAAGTTGACTCAAGATTGACGCAGGATGCAGATGATTAACTTGATAGGAGCAGGCAAACAAAAGGTCAAAAGTCATTGCCGGTAATTGAACCCGACACCTCCATGTTAAAATAACCAACACTTGGAACCTGCAAAATGAATTAATAACTGAAGCTGAAATCGTTGGAGTGGAAGAAGCTTGAGCTACTCACGGTTGCTAGAGGTCAAACATCTTTCAGATCACTGGCGTTGGTTAACGTCAGTTTGTAAGTGAAAACCAAACCTGCGTGGGGGGAAGGGGAGTTCCAAAAGTTTGGACATACACAAAATAAAACCGGTCCATTCAAATCCAGAATTGCAATTAACTACTTATTGTCGTCAAGTTGAATGTTCATGCACGGAGTCCTTTACTCATTAAGGCTGCAGGCCAGTAAATAGGCCCTAAATTGCCTACGCCGGCCAAATCACGATTTGCATGCCCTCAAATTCTCCGGTATTAGAGCATTTTGAGGGCCATGAACTTGAGGGTTTGTAAAACAGAAGGGTGGAAGCGGTGCAGAGGACTGCAAGCTCATATTTCGGTGAAATTTGGATGAAATTTGGCTCTAAAATTGCTCTATTTTGCAATGGAGTGTAGGCATCCTTTTGAAAATGGCAATGGGCTTCAGGACTAATTTTACGGATGATCATCTTTGAATAAATTTTCTCCCAAAAGTCATTTGTTAACCCCCATAAAATTGAACAAAAAGTGACAGATGATGAAATAAACTTTAAATTGATGCGTGTCTAAAATACTTCAGAAACTTGTGATTATTTTAAATAGTTTTGGAATCGGTGTAGTTATCACTGCGGTCTATGGAAGTCTATTTACTGGTCTGCACCCTAAAGCCAATTTTGTGGAAGGTCCGCAACCTCGTACTTTCTGACACCTTGAATTGAGGCCTGCACTTCAGTTTTCCAACTTGATTCCTTCAGAGACTAGTAAATCAAATTTCCTTTCCCTTCGCCTCCTCCCCCTCAGCCTGCGACTGACCTCCGTTTCCTCCTTTAAACTCTAGAGCTGTTGCAAGACGTGTGGTTGGTTCCATGCAGAGCCAAACAGTTGGATCGCTGCCCAGTACATAGATCACTTCTGATACTTTGTTATTGAATGCAATCAGGCCCAAATCAAAAAGCTGTTGAGAAAAACTGTTTGCGTCCTTGTCCCAATGGTTTTTGTTGGGTGATGGTTCGGCGCAACTTGTTGACATCATGTCAAAGTGACTCGCAGTAAGTGCAAGTGACAGAGTAAAATTTGCCCCAGGTAAACTAATCCCAATCAATTGGTGTGTCTCTCTGGATGATACATGCAGCAGCAGGCACCAAGACGTGCTTCTTCGCCTCCATCTGAAGTTTTCCCGCACAAACATTTTTGGTGCACATAGTGCAGAGTTGTTTTGATATGTGAATGGCCAAATCAAAACATCCAGGAAAGATTTTGTCCCTGTTTAATGTTGAGAATCCCTTAATGTTGTGTTGAGGTTGATGGTAATTATAAATTTAGAAGACAAGACGTTATAAGATTACAGCAATTCTAATGGGCTGAAAGGCTTTGTAGTATGGAAAAAAAACCTACAATTATAATGAGCTGAAAGGTTTTGCTGTGTGGGAAAACCTACATGCAGCTAGTATTTCAAAAATTATCCTTTTTTAACAAGTGATATATAGGCAGTCAGTGTTTTTCCTTGATTTGCATCACAAAATGCAAGACAAATTTATTGGGTTGTTTTTTTTTGCTATACATAATTTCATAATTTGACAGATCATTAAGCAAAGATGTGTTTGCCATAACAAAAAATTTTACCTCTATAAATTGCTCTGTTTCATCTTAATTGGGGTCAGGGAACCAGACTACAAGAACACGATTGTTTTTCTTGGTTTTTCCAGCATCTACGAACCCAAAACGTCAAGCACGTCAGTGTAATAATATTTACTGTAAATTACTAACCCCCAAATCCATCCATTTCTGAATATTACAGCAAAAGCAGAGATTTTGAGCAATTTCGTTGCTTTAAAAAAAAAATGATCCTATTAACTTAAAAAGTGTGAAATGATGTGATATATACTTTCTTCCAACAGACGTCCTGAGACATCCTTCCTGTGGTTCACCTCGCCATGGAAGACGCTCAAGTTCATCATCTGGAACAACTACAAGTGGTACATCATTGGCTTCTTCGTCGCAATCATCATCATTGCCTTTGTCGTCCTCTTCATCTACAGCGTGCCGGGCGTCACAGTCAAGAAGATATTCAATGCCTAGAGCATCTCGGATGAAAAGGTACAGTTGACTCTCATTAATACAACATTCTGGCTATGGTGAAAATATGGCCTCGGGTCCAACCGTGCGTTTGTGTACAATGAATGAGACCGACACCCTTCTCAGACAAAATGTGGATACAACAAACATTGTAGCTAGGTCCGCAAATTGTGTATTAAGAGGAGTCAACTGTTTTTCAAGCAAGACAGTTTCTAAAGCAAATCAAATATCCAACTTGAAGGTTGCAAATGAGCGGAAACTACCTTTACAAAGTAAATGTAGTTTTGGGTTTTTTTGTTTTTCATTAGAGACGATTTAGAATACCTTTTGATTTGTTGATATAACCATGGATACTAGATAAAAAATGTATTGTAGTTTTTGGTGATGAAAAATGACAGTATAAATTATAACAAACAAACATTGTAACACAAAGTGTATTTTCCTGCATGAAAAAAAAATTCAGAGTATCATGAACTAAAATTGAGCAATAATTGAAAATATAATCGGTGATTGGAATTTCTTTTGTAGCGTTAACCTTACAGTATTTAACAATAGATTAACTATAAAAAAAGAGAACTTTAAAGACAAGTTGTCCATGTGCCTCTTTGCAGGGGTGGGAGATGGAACATTCTTTTAAAATGGTTGACCAACCATTTTGTTGAAGTCTTCCAGATAGAGTATATTTTCCTAAAATTAAATGTTGTTTGTGGTATTTCTACTTTTGATAAACCCTCTTGAGTTGGTTTGTAATCATGTAGTAGGTAAAGGCCTGTGTGGTAATAATAGTACGTAGTTTGTAGAATGTAAAAAAAAAATCCTGGTTTATTGAGTAAAATTCTTTGCAATAGATGTCATAAGTATTAACTTTCTTCAAAAGTGCCTTATGCAAAAAAACAAAAAAAAATGCACTGTCTTCCTTTTTCCTGTCTGACAATTTGGGTATTCCTCGATGAACTTGATAATTAAGATTATTATGTGGTTTGATCGCATTGATTTGTCCCTGTCAATATTGGTGTGTATGAAATGTGGAGAAATTTGAAAATGATTTCTTGTGTCCAAGAAAGATTTTGTTTTGTTTTTTTCTCCCTGAGAAGATTTAAATAAAATCGGTGCAGGTTGCTTGCATATGTTACTGTGCTTCCAGCTACAATCAGGTATTTTTCCAACTTGAGATTATTTTTGTATTTAGCCTAATGCGTACGTCTTCTATGTGCTTTTGTAGATTACAAAAAGTGAACTATAAAGTGGCCTAAGCATTAATCAAGGGAAAAGAATGATAAATTCTAAACATGACCACAAAGGTTTTAGAAAAGGTAGCTCATGTAATGAAAGCCATCTTAATGTTTGACCAATTTGAAAGAAGAAACAAATTCCACTATAACTGGTAAACGTGTCTATGTATATGATTCTGTGACTGTTCTCTTATGTGTATTCAGTTTCCATCATTTCAGCATCATTACACAAATAGACCAAAATACACATCTGTTTGTGTAATTGTGTCAGTCATAACAAGTGAAGAGTAAAATTAGATCGCATAAGTTCTTAAAGAAGGATTTGATATTTGTTAGGTATCATCTTCAAGTCTCTCCTTTTTTTCTTAATTTAAGTTGGCCACAATGATGACGATGTCACCATAAAAGACTAGTTACTTTTGTAAGAAGTAGGTGCAAGATATTGAAGGTAAATGTACACCATTTACAAAACAAAATGTGTTTTGCCGATTCAGGGTACAGTAAAATAAATTTGAAGCAGGATATTAAATACCTTTCGAAATTTCAGCTCAGTAGATATACTTTTTGAGAAAACTGTAACAATGCATCTTTATTTTTCTCGACGCAAAGCATTGCAAGCACGATGGTTTGGACCTAACCATCGCAAGGACATGATGGTTGCTACTCTTTTCTCGAAAATGATAGGCGCAGTGATTTCTCAAGATGCTTGATCCCATTATTTAATAGGACATTTCATGATATTTTGACGGTTTCATTCTTGAATGTTTGCAAATGGTGTTCGTTACACTTTTAAGATGAATGTAAACTTTTTTTTTTAGAATTAGCCAGATATCATTTATTCAACTGAGATGAAGGCACAGATAGAGTTCAAATATCCAATCATTTATTGACCAGTTACTTTATTGTCGACTTGGTATTGTTAACGATTAGGCTTGATTTTTACTTTATGTAGAAGGCACTCACTTCACCGTCTTCTGTTTAAAGGATTATGAATAAAGGTAACGGGGATGAGTGGCGTTGTTGATTTGTATTTATTGTTTGATGCCTTGTCGTTGGAGGAAGCCTTGTGATTGGAGCATTTTCAGAGGAAATTGCCGCCCATGTGTTTGTGATTTCGAGCCAATGTCATGCACTGATCAGTGTCAGAAATCAGGATCGAGTCAAAAAAAATTTCAAGGCATTCGGGCTACTTTAAAGTTCGGAACATCCATTAGCCTGTAGAGCTAGAACAACGAATTGTATTTATTTTGTGGAGTACTTGCCCTCTCAACTTTGGGGGGGGGGGGAGAAATTAGACGCCACTTCACGCGATTGTTGATCTCTTAAAATTTACAAATAATAGGGGTTTAAAGACGAGAATCCTCGGGCATGCTACACTTCATGGTTTTCTGTTTTGCCTATATTCCCCAGGGGGAAAAAAGTAAACCTGTTTTTAAAAGATTTGTTTTGCTTGTGCGCGTTCGATGTTTGCAGACTATTCAACAAACACAGAATGTGGACTGACGTCACATGTTCCCAGTATTCCGGATAGTCGCAGGTGTGTTGTTCGTGCAGAACTTCCTTCAACTTTCGTTTCCCGAGACCCGTACCCCACGGGGATTTCTTGTTTGAAATGCCGCTGACGGTCCCGGGCCCCGGCACATGCCATTCCCTAGCTAGCTGGCTACCTTCCCTTGTCCCGTTTCTGTAAAGTTCACCCCTCGGTCAATTCGGGTATTACCGCGCGAGTGCTTGCAAACTGCCGGGGTCGGTTGTAGGTCGCGCGCAGAAAAGGGCCGAGTGACAAGAACGTGCTTTAAACCGCAAACCTAACTCGTGCGTAAATCTGTCAGGCAGGCAATGACAGATCGTGTTGGTTTATTCGGTAATAGCTTCCTGACGGACAAGCCAGGGTAATTTGCGGGTGTCTCTACCGAGTTCTCATTTCTGTGGCATTTTTATTGACTACTTCCTTGCAGTAGATTTGACACGGTGTTTGTGGGAGGGGATACATTGTCAATTCAATCTCAAAGAATATCAGTGATTTGATTATGAAAAAGCCACAAGTTGCAATTATAGTAGGGTAAACTTGGATGAAAAACAAATGCTTGGGAAGCACTGAGAAAGAGAATCATGGACTGATCGATTGATTTCTTTTATTCGTGGCCGTCATGTCAAAATGAAACTAAAAGAGCAGCAACTTTTCCCACACCAAAGATTGAGCGGATTGGCTGAGCCCATCGAAAAACTTTCGTTTCCCTGCTTTTTGCAAACTGATCAATAGATTATAGAACGCTAGCTTTGTAATCAGTTTCGTTTCATTATGCTAACGGAAAGATGTAGCAACAAAACAACCTCTGGTCGTCGCAAAATAACCTCCAGATAACCTCCGTGAAAACAGGGAGACCGTACTCAGAAACTGGGGTCAGAATTCCAACCTTGATACGCCGTGTCATTTCTTTCGTGCCAGAAGCCTGGCATGATAGCCATCAGTGTTTGTTCAGACCAATTTTTGTGGTAAATAAGACGGTGTCCTTATTTTGATAACAATGTGCCAGTCACGCAGCGTGATGCAAAGCAGTTTCAACTGTACGGCCCAGTGAAGATATAGTTACGAAATAGATGTAGTTATGAAACCTGGGGTTTGTTGCTGAGAAACAAGGTCGTATGGGCTCGCTATGAAAAGGTATTTTGTGGAAAGGAATTTGGGGAGAACAATATGCTTTTTAACGGAAGGTCGTGCACTTTCGACCCCAGGATTGTATTTTTGTGACGTGATGGATCGTGTACGGGACGAGTTTCCTTTGTAATGGCGCGGCGACGGAGGTTTCGTCTGAATACTGTAGTAGGTTTCGGTACCCCCCCCCCCCCGGGTTGGTCGGGAGCGAAATTCATTCTTTTCAAAGTATTTTTATTATAAAGAGACTTCCCCTTGCCTTGCTTCCATTGCCCGTGTACGTTTCCCGGGATGTTTAGATTACTTCACACCGAATAATCTTGTTTTTATTTATTTCAGGGAATTAAACAAACAGAGGATTTCTGATAATGCATTCCCTTCGCACTTAGGTAGAGTAGGCCTATGTGAAATATAAATATTAAAAAGAGACATTTATAGGGGAAAAATCTGAGCGTCAAATGAGGTCCTGTGGTCCCCCACCCCCTTTCCGCTTTTCGAATTTGGAGTGGCGGCTGGCGCCATGGCCATTCGGCCCCGGAAAAAAAGGGTTCCGGTCGGATCCGGCCGCATTCAAAGCTGATGCCCCACCCTCATTCTACGCCACTGCCCAAAAACGTCACCAGTGCGTCACAGACGAGAGAAAAAACACGGTTCATTGAAAGTTCAAGGATTAATCCTGCGTAAATAAAGTACAAAAGACTCTGAATTATTAGGAGACGGGGCTTTGACTAACGCAAATGTTTGTCGAAGCTGTCCTCCAAAAAAATAATATGCCCGTAAATGCCCGGAAAATAATTCAGGAACGCTGTTCATGGCACAGATTGTGTTCGCGTAAAATGCCTGCCGCGTCCGTTCTGATAGTTTTCTACCGTTAAATTTCTTGGGTGTACATATTTGTCCCTTCCATAATCAACAACTAAAGGTTTTTAGTAAATAAACTACAGTGAAAGTTGATGGACAGCCAGTGATCCCAATTTGGTTACAGGTCATACAAGGAGGGCGTTCCATAAATAGTGGCATGTAATACAACACAGTTGCCCAACTCTCGTTTACAGTTTTGTCAGTTGGACGCGGGGCGTATCATTCCTCGCCGTAGGCCTCCCGTTGTCGTGTTTGTTGAGTGCCGAGTTTACCCTGGCATTGCTGTTGAGCAGATGCAGAAAGTACAGATTTTTTATTGAAACCCTGTCGTGGGACAGACAGCATTTTTTTCAGTAGCGGATTAACGCACGGGCAGATAAACCAGGCCTGGTCCTCCCACATGCATGCAACATACTTTTTGTCCTTCCGGATAGGAGAAAGTTTGCTACAATTCCAGAACGTTCACCAGCTCGGCCACAATGTAAAGTTATCGTGATTCCTTACAATTCACATTAATTTATCAATTCACGTCACTGACATTACAAGAGCAAGTCTGTTACATTGACTAACGGTGACACACAGAGTTTTCTCCTTTCTCACTTCTCATTCAGCGCGCTGCAAAAAGTTACACCCCAAAATTGCCACGAAAAGGAATTTCGGCAAGCGTTATAAACGAAAACCATGTAACTGAACATTCGGCTATGATCCTTTTGCTCCCAAATTTTGGGTACAATACTAGAGGATTGGTACAATACTTGAAGTTTGGTGGGCGCCCTTTCGGACGATGACGTCATCATAACTTTTGACAAGCACCTACGCTGGTATTCATATGTGCCCCACCAATCCCATTTGGTGTTTCCCTTAGCCCTGCATGCTTGTGAGTCTCTACATGTTTGTTTCTTGTATCTCTGTCATTTTGCCTCTGAAGAAGAACTTGTAAAGTTTGCAACGTCAGGCCGCATTAATTGTTGTGAAATTTAGCATCCCTCACTGAATGGGTTCTGTTTTAGTAGAATCAAATTGTCTCGTCTGGCCACAGCCTACACCTAGTTTGTAACACCTGCGGAGGCCAACCTCAAAAGTCATGCCATTGAATGTTGGCACTAACTGTTACTTCAATAACACATGGTCTGGAAACCTGAAGAAGAATTTGAAAGTCATGAAATTTACCGGGTCCGGTATTCAAAAAGGTGGTTTCCGAGTTGTTGAAATCACTTTTTCAGAAACGAAAGCGCCTGCACCTCACAACCGCTTTTATGGTAATACTCTCCCCGCTTTTAATCATTTTGTTGTTACGGACGAAAAAGAACAAATCGACCCACTTTTCATTCAACTACCCCTCTTGCTTTTGGTACTGGTTCCCGCCGCAATAATGGCTGAAATGATAAACACCGGGTCAACGGTGATGAGGTCCACTGTTAACATGCCGGAAACTTTGAGGCAGGAAGGAAGGCATTTCTGTAGGTTTGATGTAAAAAAGAAAAAGCAAAATGGCAATGCCTTTCATGGAAGACACGCCAAAATAAAATCATTAGACTAAACCCTTTAGTGGCAAAATACAAAGTATCACACTGATATAGGGTCGTGTGCAGTTGGAAAACCGGATTGTGCCAACTAAATTGAAGCGATCGACGTCAGATTTCTCGGACTGTCAGACATGTTGCACGCAATCAGTTGTGACATGGCAAGCGGGTCGGCCCAAGGGCCAACCATTGTGATGGAGTAATATTAGTAGCGACATTTGACGTAGATCAGCTTTCATCTGAACCTGGGCTGAACCCGAACCTGGGCTGAACCCGAACCTGAACTTCATTATTTCCCCTCGTTGCGGCCGTTGCCAAAAATGTTGACAGTGGTACCCGGAGGCAGCGAAATGAAGGGATGTTCTCGTCTCATTTGTTTCAAGACAATTGGGATGGGGTTGGCTATCATCATTACTAAGCGTCTTCGTCTTAGTGATGACAAAATGACAGCTTATGTAATTTTTTTCTCGGACAGCATTTGGTCCTTTTCATATCAAAACATTGTTGACGACACGATAACATAAATCTAACTGTAGCACGCGTGTTAAACCGATGAGACTAAGTGACGAGTAGAGATTCGACACTTCGTCAAAACGAAAAATTGAGTGTGTCGCACTTTCACTACTTTGTGTAATTAGCGTAATTAACGAACGATGGAAGTTTATGTCTCGAAATTTTGTAAGCATGCAGAGGATATATGATAAAAATGTTTGAATATCCAAACATCTCAGAAGAGAGCCTATCTCGGTTTTTGACGGATTTGTCATTAGCACTTCGTCAAAACGGTGACGAATACGTGTGACCAAAAGCTATATCTACTCAAAACTAGTATCTGATAATTATGTTTGTTGAATATTAAAAGCACTGTATCACGTTTTGGTCTACTTATTTGAACAATTTGTTCCATCTAGACCCATCTCACATGACTAGAGTAAAATATGAGTGAATATAAGAGAACATACGATTGTTGGGAA